TTTATGGCACCCGCAGAAGTGGCATCCTCTCCACCTCCTCGTTAGCTAATTTCAAGGCATGTCATCGCTACCTGTACACACCTTTAGCAGCACACATTCCCCCTAAGGGAAATGGGACTTATTCCAGCATCGCCCTATGACATTTGTTTTATTCAACGCTGCAAAAGCACACTACCTGGACCCCAGTAGAAGGGGAACTGGTGCAATGTAGGGCCTTGCAGCCTGATCCTCATATGCATGTTCACTCAGAAGTAAGGTAAAGGGACCCCTGACCATTAGGTCCAGTCGTGACCAACTCTGGGGTTGCGGTGCTTATCTTGCTCTATAGGCCGAGGGAGCCGGCGTACAGCTTCCGGGTCATGTGGCCAGCATGACTAAGCCGCTTCTGGCGAACCAGAGCAGCACACGGAAACGCCGTTTACCTTCCCGCCGGAGCGGTACCTATTTATCTACATGCACTTTGACGTGCTTTCGAACTGCTAGGTTGGCAGGAGCAGGGACCAAGCAATGGGAGCTCACCCCGTCGCGGGGATTGGAACCGCCGACCTTGTGATCAGCAAGCCCTAGGCTCTGTGGTTTAACCCACAGCGCCACCCGCGTCCCTCACTCAGAAGTAAATGCCACTGAATTCAACCATAGGAACACATGGAGATGTCTTATAATGAGACAAACCAATGACTCATCTTCGCTTAGCAGCTTTCCTGGAAATGCAAGGGATGCAGCCTGGGTGCAAAGATGCTCTGCCACTGAGCATAGAATTGCAAGCTAACAGGCGGAGCTATGAACAAGGCAGGCAGCTATCAGCATGTCAGCAACCTAATGTGTGAGCAGGGCTATTGAGACTTATTGGGCACAGGGCAGGCTATGGCCAAGCCAAAACTTCTCAGGAAAGCTATGGGATGCAGCGCAGCCTTATGCATTGCTGGGAACAATATAAGAACGATAATATATTTATGTGCTCACATTATTACGAGTTTAATAATTTAATGGGTTGCAGCGCAACAGTACTGAGATCTTTTTCATATACTGTTTCCACTTTGGGGCCATTGTTTATTTTTATGGATTCAGCAGCATTTTACATCGTATCTGGGATGGCGTCCTATTTAAATAAAGCTTATTGGTGAAGTGAAACTCATTAAAGGAAAGAAAAAAATTGCCGGGAAACAGAATTCCAGAAAACTCAAGTCAGGGGTGGGAGGTTCAGACCACATACTGTACAGTGGTACCTCGGGTTATAGATGCTTCAGGTTACAGACCCCACTAACCCAGAAATAGTACCTCAGGTTAAGAACTTTGGTTCAGGATGAGAACAGAAATTGCACGGCAGCGGTGCGGCAGCAGTGGGAGGCCCCATTAGCTAAAGTGGTACCTCAGGTTAAGAACAATTTCAGGTTAAGAACGGACCTCCAAAATGAATTAGGTTCTTAACCCAAGGTACCACTGTACACAGATAGGGACATGTGGCTGCATCAGGTAGCTTCACTCTTGATGTATAAACTTTGCCAAACCAGTGAGCTGGCCAGAAATATACCTGCCCTGGAGGAATTACATGACTGCCATTCCCACCCCTTCCCTAAATATCCGCTTTGTTTTCAAAGGTAATCCGCTCAAGCCTAGCCCTCGAAACTGCACGTGGATCAGGCTTAATTTGAACTATGCCTCAGCCCCGGAGCTTGCTTCAAATGCAATGGGACATTTGAAATAAATAATAATCAGGAGTGTTCTTTCTAAGGGACGCTCCCTTCATCAGCTATGCAAATTACACGGCTGTAAAATGTAACTACAGCCAAAATTGCCATCTGTTGGTATCTGTCAAGATACCTGTGCTTTTAATAGCTGTGTGGCACTCCATCACCGGCTGCATTTAAAAAAACAAAACTACTTTGCACGTGATCAGAATTCTTCATTCATGGTTTTCCATCGCCATCAGATCTCTGTTAGGTTTAAAGTCTCTCTTGCACTCTCTCTGCAGGAATGGGGATGCAAATGTCCCCCTTCTCACTTATCAGAGTTGGACAATGGTACTTCTAGATCTATATAATAACATATGATAGTGTAACTGATTCTATTTATTGCACCATGCTGTATCTTTTTTCTCTCGTGTTTTACTTGCACTTTATTTTCTATAACTGGAATTTTCTTACTAAAATATTAATAAGGAAATAAAACAAAAAGATCTGCACAAGGGAGAATTGTAGGTCCTGTATGTTTGTATGTGTGTGTGTGTTGTCCACACCCACCGACATGTAGGCCCTAGAGGGTTGGTCGAAGATGAACATGATCCTTGGGGCAAGAAAGGGCTGCTTGTTGTTTAGTCATTTAGTCGTGTCTGACTCTTCGTGACCCCATGGACCAGAGCATGCCAGGCACTCCTGTCTTCCACTGCCTCCCGCAGTTTGGTCAAACTCATGTTGGTAGCTTCGAGAACAGGGAAGGGCTAGCCACACCTAATTTAGGTTGCATAGAGACCATACATTTAAAGCACATCTACCCTCCCAAAGAATCCTTGGGGGCTGTAGTTTACTGCCCACAGAGCTACCAGTCCCAGCACCCTTAACAAACTACAGTTCCCAGGATTCCTTCTGTGTGTGAGAAAATATGTTTTGAACATGTGGTGTGTATGCAGCCTTAGTCCAAATCCCTTTTCCTGAATTTGAACCTGTGCTGGCCCCAGAGCAAGAGCTTCTAGTTTGGCCCCGAGGGTGTTCACATCCTGTGCACCTCAGTCCTTTCAACAGGAGATGCTGAGAACAGGACCTTTCGCATGCAGGGTATATGCTGCGGCCTTTGCCCTCAAAGTCTCAGGTTCAGCTTTTGCAGTGCGAAGCTTGGGGTGAGTGGAGTCTGCGCACACCCAAAGCTCAGCAACTTTAAGCCCCATTTATTTCAGGGGGAAAGATTTTAAGCGCATGCCTAACTCTTCTATTGAAATCAACAGGACAATCCATCAATCAAAAGTGCTTATCTGTGGCTGGATCATGCCCTATTAAGAGAGGGTGCTGAAGGCAGCAAAGACCTATAACGTAGCACAAATATTCCTTGTAAAAATAAAGAGTCCTGTTTCTGGAAATTGCAGAAGGGGAATGTGCTTTTGTGTTTGGGTCCTGATTATAAGACTTTCTGCACTGTGAAAATAGATGTGCCTTATCCAGCAGGCTCCTCTTGCAACCTTGGCATTATCAGCACCATGCTCCAACCTCTTACGTTTGCAGAGATGTGTTGGGATGTTATTTTGTTCTTCTCGTCCAAAGCGGATATTGCAATGAAATATGACAGTAATAATAATAATGAAGCACCTAGAGTAGTCAGCTGTCTACCTGGACACACTGAAATTAAAGAACCTCCATCAGCAATGTCTGTTAACTTCAATAGGTCTACTCAGAGTAGGACTTGCGCTGAATATAACCACCCCTATTTCCATATTTAATAGTTAAAAACAGGAGGCCATTGCTAAATGCCCCCAATTCTATATGGTGACTGTAAGGCTGCAGTCCTATCTGCACTTCCTTAGAAGTCCAGCCGAATCAAGTTAAGACAAGCTAATTCTGTGACAGCTCAGTCGGTAGAGCATGAGACTCTTAATCCCAAGGCTTTGGGTTCGAGTCCCACGTTGGGCAAAAGATTCCTGCATTGCAGAGTGCTGGATTAGATGATCCTCATGGTCCCTTCCAACTCCACAATTCTGTAATTCTAAGTCCTGCTTATACTTGCAGGAGGAGAATCAAGCAGCAACACTTTCCTTGGACTATACCACTTCACCCTGCAGGGGGAGGATGGCATGTTTGAGTATTTCACAGGATCGGGGAGGGAGGCATTGCAATGACATTAAAAACCTCCGATTATGTGCGAAACTAGCCTGCCAGCGGGAAAGGTTCAGCTTAGTGTTTGTATGCGGAAACTTTTTCACAGAACGGTACTGAAATAAAAACAAACTTGTGTCTGCAGTATGAGACAGTACAGACCAGGGTAGGGAAGTATTGCCACTTGATTCTCTTGCAAGCTGTCTTTCCAAGTCAGCACGCAGAAGATTAAGTTGGCTGCATTGCCTTTGCTGGACTGTTCAATCGATCACCAGGGCACAGGGAAAGGGGTATCCCGAAGCAAGCGGTAGCAATCATATGTTCCCTGGACTGCAGCACCTCAGGTTTAGGCGAGAGTCTGTGCATTTCAACGTGGCATGAAATCTCCATTCCCCGTCCTGTTTCTCCCTTTGTGTATTAGTTTGCGGGCACAGCTAAGTCTGTGTGGCTGAACTATACGGTACAGATGCTGGTGGATGGCAAACAAGGTTCTTTGCTGTGGGTAGGCTGAAGTCCCTTTGCATAATTAGAAAAGAACCAAACCTTTAAATAAGCTCCTAAACCTTTATTGCTGACATGCTAGCTTTCTACGCGCAAAGTATCGTTGGATGGGGACGAAACGTTCTCGCGCACGTGCCGAACTCCCAACTGCAGACCTGCGGGGGGGGGGGTGCCGGAAAAACTTCGTTTGAATGGAGGCCACAGGGAAAAAGCAGGAACGCACCCGATCCATTTGCATTATCGACGAGGCCTTTACTTGAGAGTAAACGCGCAGAGGCTCAGGAGCGCCACGGCCCTTGCTCGCCCTACACTACCGATTTCGCTCTGCTGAACTCGAGGGACGGCAGGGCTGCACCCATCCTTTGCCAGGATGGAGGCTGGCGATCGGGGGCGGGGGGGACTTAGCTAGAGGGAGAGGGAGGATCCCACCCGCCCTCCTCCCCGTTTCTACTGTCGAGGGAAGGCGCCCTTTTCGCTCTCCGGCGTCCACCAGCTCCCGCGCTCCGCGCCTTCTCTGTGCGCTTTTGGCAAGCCCGAGCGCGCCGCCTTCGCTCCGGAGCGGCCGCGGGGAAAGGCCCTCCGGGCGCTTCCCGAGGCGGCTGGGCTGCACCCACTTGCCCCGTGGCCAATGGGGCGCGGGGCTGGGCGGAGCCGGGCCGAGCTGCCTCCCCGACTGGAGGAGCTCGAAGGAGCGAACTTGCAAACGGCGCTGCGAGCGAGTGAGTAATCCGCGAGCCAGGCGGCGGGAGCACATGGTGGCAGCAGCGGCGAAAGGACGCGCGGGCGCCGGGTCCGGGTAGCGAGTCTGTCCGTCTCTCTCGTCCCCGCGCTCCTCCTGCTCCTCGACCCGGCTTGGCTGCCTGGGACGCCGGGCTCCCAACTGCCCTCGGAAGGCGTCTGATGAATTCTCCCGAGAGAGAGACACCCGGCGCCCCGGCTGCGCCTCTCTGCTCCCGGCGCGCCGCTGAAAAGAAAAAGACGCGCAGCGGACACTTGAGTCGCCACCGCTGCTAACGGCAGACGGACTTTCCGAAGCCACGGAAGGGCTCTGGGGGGCGTCGAAGCTTTTTGAATCGGGGATCGGCTTTGAACTTGGCAAAGCGTTTGGAGGAGATACAGTTCGGATTATTATTATTTTTGTGTATATATATATTGGAGAGGAGGGGATTCATTTCATGTTGACATATTGCATATGCATACGTAGGTGAAGACTTGCATCGGAGTGACAAGTGAGGTGGGCGGGGACTGGCCGAACTAGAAGAGAGGGATGGAAAGTCCCACTGAGGCAGAAGGCAAAGACCAGTTTGCAAGCTGAACTTTGAAAAGCGCGAGACCTGGCAAGAAAAGAAAGCCAGCCTAACAGACAACTGAGAACGCTTTTATGCAAGAAAAGGCATCTTTTGCTGGCTAGCCAAATTGCACTCGGCTTCTAAGAGCTCTTTTTGCTATTACTGGCCACCTTTTTTCTAATCTCCCTACTTTATGAATTTCTCCGAAAAAGCCTGCCGCCTTTCCACCATCTGCTCTCCTAGCTCTGCCTTTGAAATGCAGGATTCTTCAGTTCTCTCCGATTTGAATTTCCATCCTCTTCCGGCTGAAATCTGGGACTCTTGACTTTTGCTGCCGTTTTGTTCTTCTTTGACCCAGTTGGCTCCTTGCGATTGTCCCAGCCTCACCATGTCTTTCAACCCCACCATGCTGCCTTCTGCCAACGGCTCCTCCAATGGGACCGGAGGAGCACCTGAGGGCAGCAAACCCTTGACCATCCCCGCTGTCATGTTCATCTTTGGGGTGGTGGGGAACCTCATTGCCATTGTGGTGCTCTGCAAGTCCAGGAAGGAGCAGAAAGAGACCACCTTCTACACGTTGGTGTGCGGCTTGGCCGTCACGGACCTCCTGGGCACCTGCCTGGTGAGCCCGGTCACAATCGCCACATACCTGAAGAACGAGTGGCCGGGTGGCCAACCGCTTTGCGAATACAGCACCTTCATCCTCCTCTTCTTTGGACTGTCTGGACTCAGCATCATCTGCGCAATGTCCATTGAGAGGTACCTAGCCATCAACCACGCGTACTTCTACAGCCATTATGTGGATAAGAAGCTGGCAGCGCTCACGCTCTTTGCCATCTATGTTTCCAACGTCCTCTTCTGTGCCTTGCCGAGCATGGGCTTGGGCAGCACAAAGCTGCAGTACCCCCAGACTTGGTGCTTCATAGACTGGCGGACCAACGTCTCCACGCATGCCGCCTATTCTTACATGTATGCCGGCTTCAGTTCCTTCTTGATCATGGTCACCGTGGTTTCCAATGTCTTGGTGTGCATGGCCCTGATCCGCATGCACCGACAGTTCATGCGGCGCACCTCCCTGGGGACAGACAATACCGCCAGCCGATTGTCGGACTTCCGCCGGCGCAGGAGCTTCCGGCGCATGGCCGGCGCAGAGATCCAAATGGTCATCTTGCTCATTGCCACCTCCTTGGTTGTGCTGATCTGCTCCATTCCTCTCGTGGTGAGTAACGTTGGCTTAGCCTTTTCTTTCCAGTTTCGTCATTGCAGCTACAGATTCCCCACAGCAGAAAAAGCCAAAGGCTGCTTCTGTGGTTGGAAAGGGAGGTTCCTAACGGCGATATTTCCATGCAGGTGATCTAAAATGTTCTCTCAACGCCCCCCCCCCCACTGCCATCCACAAGGGAAAAGAAGGAAGCGACTCTGTCCCAGCCTTCTTCTTTGACACTGTTTATTCCTAGGCGGGGTAGAAGAAGGCTGTGGCCATTTTCATAAAGAAACTAAGAAGCACCTTTGAACTTGCTCTTTGTGTCACATGTTAATGTTTTGTCACCTGCTCACGTGGGACAGGATGCAGAAGAGACATTAAATGCACATTGTGGGCCAGTCCAAATGTGAAATACACATTGCACTCAAAGTTAAGTGGTGGGTGTGTCTGTGGGTGTATGGGAGAAACTAATTGAAGCCCAGTTTCTGAAAAGTCCCTTTGTGCCCCATGAATTGTCAATAGCTCCCCAAATATAAAAGCAGCCCTGCACATGGAGTAGTTATATAATACTTGAATTCTATACCAATGCGTTGCTTGAACTAAAGCTCATAGAAACATACATGCACACACAGATACTTCCTAACCTCAGACTTACTGAAACTACGAAGTTTGTGGCCAGCATGGGAAGTTGGGTGAATTTCTACATGTTTATAGGGATAGCATGAAATTTGCAGAGACACTCACATGCCAGAGAATAAAATGACTGCTGAGGTGTTTTTTAAAATCCCCAGCTGTTAGTGATACATGTGTTGCATAAATATTTCTGGATGGGGATTTCAGGCTGAAACATTCACAGTCTGCGCCTTGCAGTCTGCTGGTTTTAGCTGGTTCCAAAAAGAAGATCTCCCTTTGAGAAATGCAGAGATGTTATTGTTGCACAGATTGCTTCAGTAACAGTTGTGTGCTTGATGTCAGGAGGTAAACCTTCAACTTCTAGAAAAAAGCACACCCTTAAAGAAAGACCAGTGCCTGTCTTCCTTTCCCCATTGACTGGGGTGGGGAGGGTGAAGGTGTGTGCCGGGGGTGGGGTGGGGAAAACCAGTTGTGAGCTTAGCTGAGACTTGTACCAATAAAACAGAAACCAATGAAACATGGCAATCTACTTCTTTCTTGGCAAGGGTACATTAAACAAACAACTGACAGCACATACTTGCTTATCGCCCCGCCCTTTCACCCCGGGAGCTAAGCCGTTGTTGTTAGGGGAGAAGTATGGCGAATCCAGCTTGGTGCAATGGAGTTTATTGTAGGCGATAATCATTCTGAAATAACACCCTCTCGAGGGTGTAGCAAAACCAGGGAGGCTCATAATTAAGAGGGAAAGAGGACTGGGCTGAGCACAATCCTGAACTGTTCAGGTAAATGGTATACTTTTACAAGTCAGGCCAGTTTTGCTACATAACTAGCATAATCCAGCTGTGGTCTGGGTTACTAGCACTTGACAAGCTGTCCGGCTGGTGTTTTCCGGTGTGTAACTGGACACCTTTGCATGCGGTGCTGTTTACAGGGACTGTACCAGAGGCTGCATTGCACAGTCTTTTTCTTACACCGAAACCATCTCCATTTAAGGGGGGGAAGTGCAATCGACACATAGGAGAGGCATGCAGTCGGTGCTCTGCAAAGGTTGCCTCAGCAGAAGAGACACATGTGCGTTCTACCTTTGTGGGCGGAGATGGTCTCTGTGTGTAGGAAGAAGCATCCTTTGAAAACATGGAATGGATTGAGTCAAAAACATCTTGGGTCATAGGGTATTTCAAGTAGAATACGTTCACAAACAGAGGGAATCTGAGCCTACCGAGTTGTGTGCTTTTGGACAAAAAGCAAACTCTGAACAGTGAAAATAGACTTTGTTTACTGCCCAGGCACTAGCCTGTTTTTGTTTCAGCAGCAGATGGACTCCTTGGGCAATAGAATAACCCAAGCATTTTGACATTGTTGCAACGTGTATTAATAGGCCCTAATTGGAATGCCTGTTTCTCCACCTAAACATATTCTAAATGCCAGTGGCTGGTCCTAGAAGTTCAGCTATATTGAGTGGGCCGTGCTGGTGCCTCCTACACATTTTGAGATGAGAGAATTCCGGACTGTACCATTTCAGACTGCATGCTGGGGACCGCTATAGTTTTGGATACAATCGCTCTACAAAAGCTCTGTTGCAACTAGTAAAACTAGTGTTCTTGTTTTGAAGATATTAAGAAATATCTGTCTATCTATCATCTATCTATATCTATCTATCTATCTATCTATCTATCTATCTATCTATCTATCTATCTATCATCTATCTATCTATCTCTATCATCTATCTATCTATCTCTTGGAAGATGTTGTTGATACCTATTGTATCAAAAATTCAATAATCTGACCTGCAGCCTGATGTGCAACAGTTCAGAACTGTACCAGCTCTTAAGATGTATAGGCTTGTACTTTAACAGGCATCTGCCAGCTTGCCAGTTCTCCAGGGCAAGTGTCCTCTTGCAGACAACTGGTACCACACTGATGCCTACCTCTTAGGTCTCATTTCTACTGCATTTTTCAAGCAGGTAAGAGACAGCAGCAGAGAGTCCCACTGTTTCTTACCTCTCTCCATATCCCACACAAATCAAGAGAACAAGCCCTCTGTGCATGCCGTAGGATGCAAGGGAGGGTGTGGGTGAGTTCCACAAGTTAGTGGATAGCAAAACCCTGGCAGCCCAGTGGTGGGTCTACCAGGATACAGAGCATGGGGGGCAGGGGCAGGGAAGAGAGACACTTTGGGAAGCACTGAAGGTGAAGATGGTTTGCCACTGTGGGAGCAGGCTGTTTGGCTAGATGGACCTTTGTTCTGATCCAGCAAAGCTATTTATATTCTTATTAAATCCATCTGAGATTCCAAAATGAAACAGGACATGTGACATGGTTGTCCAGATTGTCAATTGGAAACAGCAGTTGGATACAAAGATGGGATAATTGTGTAAGAGTCGGTGAGCTCTAAACATGGGTACATAAATTCTGCAGGGTTTGCTTCCCAGTAACTGTTTGGAGGTGCATACTTTCTTTTCTTTCTTTTTTAAGGAAAAGATGCACTGATTGAAAATGTTTGCATCTGATTTAGAGGGGACCTGAGTTTACTCCAGTGCTAGCTCTATCATCTATCTATCTATCTATCTATCTATCTATCTATCTATCTAGCATCTATCTAGCATCTATCTATCTATCATCTATCTATCTATCTATCTATCTATCTATCATCTATCTATCTATCTATATCTATCTATCTATCTATATCTATCTATCTATCTATCTATCTATCTATCTATCTATCATCTATCTATCTATCTATCCATCCATCTGTCTATCTATCTCTATCGTCTGTCTATGCTAAGAGAAAGTGACTTACCTAAGACCCCCCCCCCCCGTGTGCTTAATGAATGAATATGGATTTGAAATTAAGTATTTCTGGTCCAAACCCAACACTCATGCATGTTGAATGTATGTTGTGTTTGGGGAAAGTTGAGGCTGATTGTGGCATTGGTGATGCAACGGTTACTACATAGCTGTGAAGTTTGGTGAAATTATTTACTGTGTGAGGAGCGGTCCCACAGTGGAGGACAACTCTGCCCTCACAGGGCTGACACAGGCAGTCTAGCGCACAATGCTTGTAGCAAAAGAATAAAAAAAGTATGGGGAATAGATAACTAAACGAAAAACCACCAGACTAAGTTATGCCTTGCAATTTAAACTGGCTAATGAATATGAAAGTAGTTTAATGGTAAATGCATGTAATTAGTGGGAGAACCTCCCTACTGAACTTATTTCAGAAACTAGTGCCCTATATTTATTGAAGCAATGGAAGAGTCAAGTTACTTGGCTAAAATCTGAGAGAAAACTGGAAGAAATTAAGAACAGAATAATAATAATAATAATAATTTTCTTATTTATACCCCTCCTATCTGGCTGGGTTTCCCCAGCCACTTAAAAAGAGCACACATACAAATAAAAGCATGTTGCTTCCACACATTTGAAATTGTTGTATATTCATGGTCAAACATTGAATGAAGGCCTTTAGCGTACCTTTAAAGTGAAGAGGCAAGTAATAAACCCAAGGAGGTGTATATTTAGCAAACAGCACATTCCCTGCTGAATGAGATCATGTCATAATAGGATTTATTACATGTGTTTTTTGGAAACAGCAGCAACAATGTATTTGCATCATGTCCTCACTCTGGTAAGTTATGACGAGGAGTTTATCGTGATTTATATCTTCGACCTGGTGCCTTCCAAACATTTTGGACTCCAACTCCCATCAGCCCCAGCCAGCAGAGCTCCCTGATGGGAGATGAAGTCCAACATCTGGAGGACCACAGGATCCCCATAGGAGAGAATGGCTGGCTTAAGACCAACTCAGGAATTTGAACCCAGATCTGCCTGGTGAGAGGCAGGCATTTTATTCCTTTAGGCTGAGATATTAAGAATAACAGTATCTTGCATTTGAAGGAGCAGATCTGATCTTCTGCCGAGCCATTCTTGGTTTGACCAAAAGCAGCTTAGTGATTTACACTGTGGTGACAAGTGATTTCCCTCCACCAAAGTGACTGTTTATTGAAGTTTGGCTCAAAAGAAGCCCTGACTGTCAATTGGACTCTTGCACTGATTTTAGAGCAAGCAGTCTTTCCCTTTTTCACATCCTGCAACATGGGGCAGATTCGAACAACTTCTATCATCCCTGTGCACTTGGTGCTGATGGGAGCTAGGAATCTACCAACATCCCTGCTCTGTTCATCTATGATCACCTGGGGTTTCTGAACAAAGCTCCCCATGTTCCCTTTAGATTGGTTTCAGCTGGCACTGATGAGATAGCAGCCCACATTTTGGAAGTGCACGGAGGCTGCGTAAGACAAGTACCAAGTTCTTCTGGGCAAAGGTTACTTCATAAATCCAGCCTCCCACTTAATATTAACTGGCTGGCTATATATAGCCGTGTATCAGAATGTGATAGAGGGACTTTTATGAGCACAGGTGAAGACTTGGTGGAAGGAGACTCCTTTGTTTGTTGTGGGAGGTAACTGCTATAAAAGGGCACTTTATGGTAAGCTTTGCTGGGTAAGGCGTATATAATGTTTGCCTTGAGTCAGGACAGGAAAAAAGAAAAACCACCCCTTTTCTTAAAGTATTGAATAAAAACTAAAGCCCGTGCTTGCACACAACACATTTAAAGCACATCCCTCCCACCCCGTAACAGAATACTGGGAGATGTAGTTTACCCCTCACAGAACTATTATTCCCAGAATCCTTAACAAACTAAAATTCCCAGGATTCTTTGGAGAGGGAATGTGCTTTAAATGACTGGTATGTATGTAAGCTCAGGGTTCCAGGCTGGCTCACAATACTGTCTTTTCTTAGCGTTGCAAAACCTCAGAATCACACCGGGAGCTAAATATCTTATCTGGATATGGAAGCTTTCCACGTGGAGGGAGATTTTGACATGGAGACGTACTCTGTCACCCATTCTCATGTGCATTCTGAGGTGACACAGCCACGTGGAGGTCTGTACTGCATGGGAGTCTTCATAGTTGAACTCTAAAAGCATGTTTGAGGCATAGAAGCCTTCCTGTTTTGAGCTCCGGAGGGAGACGGTTCCACTGTCAAACAGTTCTTACTGTCAGAAAGTTCATCCTAGTGTTTAGCCGGAAGTGCCTTTCCTGCAACTTGAAGCCATTGGTTTGAGTCCTACCCTCCCGAGTGGGAGAAAACAAGCCCTTGAGATATTTGAAGATGGCCTTCATATCTCCCTCTCAGTCTCCTCTTTTCCATGCCAAACCACCACTGAAATGTGTCCTCCAAAAGGTTGTCTAGAAGACATTCTGGCCCCCGAGCTGCAAAAGGTTCCCCACCTCTGCTGGAAAGGATTTCAATGGAAGCAATTCCCACTGAGCTCAGCTGAACTTGCTTCTGAGTCAAACATGGGTTGGATTGCACTGTTTTGAGTTTGATTTCCACCAGCAGCCCTGCTAGTAAAGAGGTCGGGGTGGAGCTTCCTTTGGGAATGAAGTCATTTGTTGTCTCCTGCGACCAGGTTCCAAAATATGAGCACCTTTCACTGTGTGCAAAGAGTTACGACTGGCAGGTATCACTAGCACACAGCCCCTACAAATATCCAGCAATTAATGCAGCTTTGCGATAAAAAGGAAGGTTATTGAGTTAAGTGTCCTAGTTTGCTTAGTGACTGATTGGGTTGCTTTTTATTTAAAAAATCGGCATTAGTCAGGCATGCTGTGTCAACTTCGTATGAGTTTTAGGAACAGCTGGATACACACTAATATTTCCCTGCAGCAGTCTCTGCATCAGAACGCTTTTATCCGAACAAGCTGTTCGTCTGAGAGTGGAATTTAGACCATGACTGCATTTCCCTGGAGTAGCTGTGTTAAAGCAAGAAGCAACTTCATTTGTGCAATTACAGGGAGGGCGGTGGGTGGGAAGACATTTGTGAATTCAGATAAGCTTATCTGGTTGTGTCTGGCACTTAGACTTGCATAGGAACTGCTTGGAAACAAAGGTTTTGGCATCTACCAGCAGGGCTGCCAGATGGCCATTTTTTGAGAGGGTTGTCCAGAACTTCGTCGGACAGCTGTTTCTAACCTGCTGCCCTTCTACAACTCTGGCTGTCTCTGGCCATTAGCCATGACCGCTGGGATTTGTGGACCAGCCACATCTAGTGAACATCTAGCTTGCTGCCAACTCACGCCTACTCTGTAGAAGTGGCACCACATCTCAGAACTGCCCATTTGTAAGATGTACATTTAACTAAAAAAGGTGAAGGGACCCCTGACCATTAGGTCCACTCGTGACCGACTCTGGGGTTGCGGCACTCATCTCGCTTTATTGGCCGAGGGAGCCGGCGTACAGCTTCTGGGTCATGTGGGCAGCATGACTAAGCCGCTTCTGGCGAACCAGAGCAGCGCACAGAAACGCCATTTACCTTCCCACCAGAGCGGTACCTATTTATCTACTTGCACTCTGACATGCTTTTGAACTGCTAGGTTGGCAGGAGCAGGGAACGAACAATGGGAGCTCACCCCATCGCGGGGATTCGAACCGCCAACCTTCTGATCGGCAAGTCCTAGGCTCTGTGGTTTAACCCACAGCACCACCCGCGTCCCTCGTACATTTAACTAGGGCTGAGCAATACCTGGTTTTCAACATTGTGATATATAATCAGCTGAACATCGCAATGTACCAATATATCACAATGTCTGAAATAAGGATGCAGCTATGTAGAGGCATCGGCGGGCTCCGCAGTTTTCCCGCTTTGTATTTTTGCCAGTGATTCACTGCCCCCAGAAGGAGACAGGGGGGGAGCTGAGCCGGCAGAGTTAATGGGGGCTGCAGGAATTGAGAGATGCACTGGCTGGTTTCACAGTTTTTCCCACATTATGATTTCTGCATAGCCCCCACACATCATGATTCACAATATATTGCCAGGTCAAAAATAATGGAATCGATATCACAATATGGACTTCGAACTTGGGTTTTAGATGATATATTTACATATCCCCCAGCCCTACAGGTAACATATTTTATGTGGGTGAAATGGATGCCTTCAACTATGTGTGCAAGAGGTAGATTCACCAGAGTATGTGGGATACATTTATCAATGACTGTCCTAGAATGTAGCCATGCATTTGGTACCATAGAACACACAGCGAAGCTTCTAGGTTCCCTTGGGGGCAGGGGTAGCTGTTGGTCTGGCTGGGTGTGTGTTTTTTTGGGGGAGGGTGTTGCTCTCCAAATGGTTCTTAATTTTATCTTGAAGTTTCTTTAGCTCAGGGGTGGCTAACCTGTAGCCCTCTGCTTGTTGCTGCACTACAGCATCCAACAGCAGAGGTAGCTTACTTGGTAGAACATGAGACTCTTAATCTCGGGGTCATGGGTTCGAGTCCCGCATTGGGCAAAAGATTCCTGCATTGCAGGGCGTTGGACTTGATGACCCTTGGGGTCCCTTCCAACTCTACAATTCTCTAATTCTATCCCATGCTGGCTGGGGCTGATGGAATCCATCAGCACCGTGAACGACAACAGTTTGGCGACCCTTGCTTTAGATATTTGTTACCAAATAATAAAATATACTTCTTCTTTATTTAGAGGTGAATGTACAAAGCTGTATACAGGGTCCCTCTAGCCCAGTATTGCCCTATTGTGACTGGTGATGGCCCTCTAGGGTCCAGGTTCTCTAGGGCCCTGCCTACTTCTGCTAATTTTTAAAAAATTAAACCGTAGATGTTTGGGTTTGAACCTGAGGAAAAGCTGTGGTCTTTGGCTTGTCACCTGTGGTGAGCGAGATTTGCTCTAGGGGATCCAGGCTGTTTGTTTTCCTTTCACACCACAAATGAATAACAGAGGCATGTGCAGGCAGGCAGGCTCAGTCAATATTTTTGTGGGCTTTATTTGCAAGACTGCAGTACGTTAAAGCATATGCAAAAAAGAGAGCAGCGAATATGCAGTGACTTCACCCCTATACAACCTATAACCAGGATACTCAGAATTCAGCCTTAACAGAAAATTGTTGCAGGCTCCCAAAAGATGCCAAGATGCATCCTTTGGTGAGTCACCAAGGAAAGAGAGATCCAGAGTACCTTAAAGGTATTTTGGAGGAAAGGGAATAATCCTGGTTGATTACCATTTCCTATGGGATGGTGATTTTCTTCTTCTCCCTTAGCAGTATGAAACTGGACAGCCAACACACTGTGGTTGGATTTGGCACCTGAGTTTCAAATCTGCATTCTCTTGAGGACTTCTGGCATAGCTTGCCTCAGTTTCTCACTCTGTAAAATGGTAAATGCAAGGTAGCACAGATGAGGAAATATGGTTCACCTCGGCCTGCCTTGTATTTAAACACTTGCCTAGTGCAACAAGGCATTGAATGCAAGCGAGTGAGGGGGCTGGGGGTCCGTCCTCTGTGCCCTGTGTAGAAATAATGTGTCCTGCCAGAGAGGGAAGCCCCTCCTCCATTTTGGAAGAACATAGGAAACTGCCTTATCAGTTTATCAGAATCAGACCATTGGGTCTATCTAGCTCAGTATTGTCTACACTGATTGGCAGCAGCTCTCCTGAGTGTCAGGCAGGGGTTTATCCCAGGCCTACCTGGAGATGCCAGGAATTGAACCTGGGACCTTCTACAGGCAAGGAAGATGCTCTGCCACTGAGCCATGGCCCTTCCATAAGCAGGACAGAGCTTCCTATTCCTCCTGGTAGGTTGCTTTTTTTCTTTTTTGTAGGCTAGTAACTTTTGTGGGCTTATTTACAAGGCTGCCTTAAGCCATCAGCTTTCAGACTTTCTTCTTTCAGGAAACACTTTCCACATCCATTTGTCTGCTAAGGATTTCTTCTGCATCTGCTCTGTATTGCAATAGGTACTTGCAAATATTTGAAAGCTCACATTCTGCACTACGTTGGCCAGCCCTGTTGGTTTGAAAGTGCACACCCAATCTCACCTGAGACACCCTTGAATTTACTGCAAAGATCAGCAGTGGTGGGCAGCCCCTGATCTTCTACAATGGCCGATATTCTCATTGTAATAAATAGAGAGGTCCCTGAACAGCTCCTAAATAATTAGGGGCAGCGTGTTAGTCTCTGGCAGCAAAACCAACAAAATGTCTTGGGGCACCCTAAAAACGAATACATTTTAGTATGGCATAAACTTTTGTGGACTACTAGAGCATCTGATGAAATAGAAGGCTGGTCCGCAAAAGCTCATGCCAAGTGTTAAAGGTTAAGTTTCCACAAGACTTTTTGTTGTTTCAACTCCTATGCAGGTAAGTGGTGAGCTCCTCATTGGGTGCAAATCCGATGCCTGTGACTTTAATTTTCACAATCTAATTTTGTTTGACTTTTGCCGCACTTTCTTGCTTCATATTAAACCAGCTTTCATTTTGGGCTACAGCCCTCCAAAGCCGAAAGCAAATTCTAAAGGCAGCATTGGAAGCAAAGTCTCTCTGCCACCTAGTGGTTTGAACTGAATGCGTCCAGTTGAATTCAACCAGTAACACCTTCAGGTCAAAGAAACTACGCTCCAGTAGAGCTGAGGTGCTTCTTGGTGGGGGCTTATTCTGTAAACAGGTCGTTGAGAATTTGCAAATGCAATACTGGCACAGATTTGCCAGTTAAATGGGGTGAAATTTGGGCTAGTATTTTGATGCCAACAATGCTGTGTGGACGCCGAGGGGGAAAGAAAAAAACCCACCTTGCGTATGCAAAGAGCACCAATCCCACAATGAAACATTTGTCTGGAAGCATCCTTGGTTCCATAGAATGAGAAGCAGAGCGAGTGAAATCCTAGGGCGTAAGATGTGAGCCTGCTACTTTCTTAGGAAGCTGCCTTAGACCAGCTAGCCCAGTGCTGTCTACACTGATTGCCAGCAGTTCTACAGAGTTTAAAACAGGGAAATACCAGGGATTGAGCCTGGGACCTTTTTTTAGGCAAAGCAGATGCCCAGCCATGGAGCCACATCCCTTCAGGTGGATGTTTAAGAAAAGTTTGTGATAGTGGGGAATGGCTGCTTTTATCTACAAGGTTATGTACAATATGTGATCTCCATATCGCCAAAAGTTCGATATAATAGCCTTTTGTGGCATTGCAGGAAGTGTAAGATAATTTACAGTGCAATAAACAAAGGCTGTTATTAAGTACTATTATTAATCAGCTATTACTCATTATTAGAAGACAGCGCTAACTATTTTCTTTCATTACTTATTGCAGTCAGATACTAGAATCTGCTCTCAATCACCACCACCAAAATGTCCTTAACTCTCTGTCCCTTTTTATTAATTTTTGTACCCACCCGTTAGTCAACCGAAACTTTAGTTTATTAATCTGACAAATGGAAGTTTGCAGCTCTGCCTAATACCATGCAGCATTTATAAAGCATTTCTTGAGTGTTGAAAGCTTCAACTTTTCTGCAAATCCCGCCTGTACGGTAGGGCAGTATTCTTACCCCCACATTGCAGATTGGGGTGGGTGAGGAGCTGAGAGTGACTTCGTCTCTATAGCAAGAGGTGAGATTTGAACTGCAGACTTCGTGATTTTGCAGCTCAGTTTCTTAGCTGCTATGCTGTAGCAGCTCATTCCTAAATGAAAAGTGCAATCGCGTAGGTCACAGGGGTGCCCAAACTTTTTTCAAAGAGAGCCAGATTTGATGAAGTGAACATGCATGAGGGCCAACCAAAGTTCTTCAGTTTTTTTTAGGATTGAAATTGTTCAGCTTTTTTAAGGGTTTCCCCTCCAGGGCATATACTGCCACAGGGGCCGGATTAAATCGACCGGTGGGCCGGATTTGGCCCCTGAAACGGACTTTGGACATGCCTGGCTTAGGGTGTAGCCCAAGCCCAAAGTTCAGCGCTTTCAGGTCTTGTTGACTTGAATAAAAGCTTTCAGCACATGCATAATTACCGTATTTTTTGCTCTATAAGACTCACTTTTTCCCTCCTAAAAAGTAAGGGGAAATATGTGTGCGTCTTATGGAGCGAATGCAGGCTGCGCAGCTATCCCAGAAGCCAGAACAGCAAGAGGGATCGCTGCTTTCGCTGCGCAGCGATCCCTCTTGTTGTTCTGGCTTCTGAGATTCAGAATATTTTTTTTCTTGTTTTCCTCCTCCAAAAACTAGGTGCGTCTTGTGGTCTGGTGCGTCTTATAGAGCGAAAAATACGGCACTTCACAGTTAAAGCCAAGCAGGACTTTACAAAGTGATTAACTTTGGCTGGTTCATGCGCGTAGGAAGATATTCAACAAAAAGGTTGTGCTTGCATATGGATTAGCACAGGCACAATGGGATATTCCCCCTTTCCTCCCCACCTTTGGGTTATCCCCCAGATCTGCTCCAAAGGGTTGGGGAAACCCCAGAACAGATTGGGGGGGGCGCCCAGAGGGAGAACATCACATTGCACAAGGATAAATCCTTGCACTGCCTAAACATTTTGCTTAGCTCTGTGTGAAGTACAGCCCATAGTCTTTAAGACCTATGAACACCTTTTAAGTATCTGGCCATCATCCTATGCCATTGTTGTTCAACTTTAAACTATCTGTCCATTTGCAGCCAGGATTTGTGTAAAACATTATAAATAGGACATGGGAAGATGTCAGCTGCATAATTTGATGCAGTTCATCATTTTAAGTATTGTACATTTCTTTCTTTTTTATTAAAAGAAAAGGTTCATTCCAGGCAAGCTGTCGTTAAAGCAGAATATCCTCCGACAAGCTTCTACAGGCAAAATTTGGAGGGTATATACCTATAAAAATCCTGGAATACTCAAGCCTTGGAAGATACTAGCAAAAGTTACTTCTAACCTCAAAGAGCAAACAGTTCCAGGCTTGTCCCTGAAAGAGAATTTGCCTGTGAGGTGGAAGTTTGGGTCCAATTTTTTTTTGTTTTTGGAAACATATATTTATGAGGAGGCTGGCTGGATTAGGGTGATTGGCTGGATCTCCCGAAATGACTCAAGGCCACATTCTGCAGCTCTTACGAACCCAGAACAGTTAATAGCAGAGTTGGTTGTAGAAGGGAGAGAAAAAGAAGGCAGCTGAAATAACAAAAACAAAACTGGGAAGAGGCTTAATTGTGAGCTCTAAATTAGGGAAGAGAGATGAAACGCCAGGGAGTGCAGAGAGCATCAGAAATAATTCACAAAATATTTGATATAAGAATTTTAAGGTCTCAAATATAGAATTAATATTCATAAATGCACACATATCTAAATATATGAACCATGTGTCTGAAAAAGTAATGGAGAGCAATCCTGAAGCCATTTTGACTCTCCAAATGACCTCAAATATTCCTCTGCAGTAAGGGAGGCAAATGAGGGAAAGCCTTCCGATTGTCTTTTTGCTTGCAAATCCTGTCTTAAGGGTGTATTTTTGTATGAATAGGGTGAGCCTGTGACCTGGATTCAGGAACTAAAGTATTAACCATCACAAAAGAATGGCCAGGCTGCCTAGGTAATGCAATCAGTGACCATTATCAGGTATCCTGGCAGGCAGGATTTCTGCTGTAGACCGCCTCCTTCTGTGATGTATGTATGATGTTTTAGGGGGGTGGTCTTGGGCTACAGGGTGGGCAATTTCAAAAGTCTATATAAGGGCTTGCACACCATTGTTCAGGATTCTCTTCCCTCCTGCGTGCGATAAGTGGGGACCCTGTTGCAACATAAAGATCAGGCTTACTAGCCACTTTGCTTCTCAATATACTCTGGTTGGCCTCTTACTTTCTCCTACTGATAGGGAACCCACTTAAAGACTCTGTACAGTGGTACTTCGGGTTAAAAACTTAATTCGTTTTGGAGGTCCGTTCTTAACCTGAAACTGTTCTTAACCTGAGGTACCACTTTAGGTAATGGGGCCTCGCGCTGCCGCCACACAATTTCTGTTCTCATCCTGAAGCAAAGTTCTTAACCTGAGGTACTATTTCTGGGTTAGCGGAGTCTGTAACCTGAAGCGTCTGTAACCTGAGGTACCACTGTACAGGCTCTGGAATACCCCATAAGGAAAAGGGAGCAGTTTTTCTTATAACATGTTTCATTGGCCTGCTTATATGCCAGTATTTTAGATGGCACGGAAGGCGGGGCACAAAGTTCTTTTTCTCTCTGTACTGGAAATCTCTCCCCCCCACCCTGGTTCTGAAAACAGCTCTCTTTTGACATGACACAAACCTTCACTCTGCCCATCACCCTGCCTGCTTAATATGCGGTTGCTAAGCCAGATGTTAACTTTGAAATGTCAGCTTGGCCCTCGCTCATCAACTTTATATTTCTCTCCCTCCCTCCCTCCCCGCAATCTCTCTTCAGGTGCGTGTCTTTGTGAACCAGTTGTACCAGCCGCCTTTGGTGAAGGACATTCAGCAAAACCCTGACTTGCAAGCCATCCGCATCGCATCGGTCAACCCCATTCTGGACCCCTGGGTGTACATCCTGCTTCGCAAGACGGTGCTGAGCAAAGCCATCGAGAAGGTCAAGTGCCTTTTCTGTCGTATCGGCGGAGGCCACCGGCAGCACTCGGGAAGCAACTTCAACTGTGCGGACGGCCGCCGGGCTTCCTCTGCCACGGCCACCCATTCGCCCTCCTTCATTTCCCGGGAGCTGAGGGAGGTCAGCAGCACCTCGCAGACGCTTCTGTACCCACTGGAGCCAAGTGAGGGGGCCGCTGGGGACCGGATGCTGTTGCCAGGGGCCAGCAGCCGCCCGGCCCAGTCAGACACTACGTCCATAAGGACACTGAGGAGCTCAAACACCTCGGAGTCGTCCCAGGGCCACGAGTCGGAGACGGTGTTTTTGGTGAACGAACTCAGGCCCGGCGCTGCTCAAAAGGGCAGTTCTCTTCAGGTCACCTTCCCCAGCGAGACGCTGAACTTGTCGGAGAAGTGTATATAAAGGAACGGAGGACATTTGTGAGGTGCAGTAGGTCCTTTGGAAGAGGACCAGAAAGGAACTCTTACAGCGGACATAGCAAATGTCTGCTCTGCCCATTGTGGTTAAGGCACATCAGAGGCCGAACAAGGCCGCCTTGCTGATCTAATGGGACTGTGTAGCCGTTTAGGGCAAGGTGAGCTGTAAATGGGCATCTAGTAAGAGAGCTCCTTTGGGGTATGAAATGGCAATGGGGTGGAATTAAACATCCTGGCTGCAAAAGATGGTACGCCATCTTTCCTGAAAAGCTGGGCGGTGGAGCTGTAACTTTGACCGGATGTGCATTTGAGTGTGATAAGCACAGTTCTTGCAGGTGACTAAGGATCACCCCACAAATGCATCAGACTCTGCCGATGTAACAGGTGAATGTATGGCGGTGGCAGGTGTGGAGGCTGCTGCTTGTTGTCTTTCCTTGCCCTGTGACACAGGACTGTTTTGCAGAAAATCCAGGGTTTGGAAAGAGTTGCTGATTTTCCCCGTCCAGACATGACCGAAGCATACTTACCCCCTATTCCTCTCCCCTCCCTTATTACTTAATAAGGTTTCGAGAGAACTGCAGTTCAAGCAGTGTAAACTGCTCCAGTCAATGGTGGAATTGAGAATCTCTCCTGTGGCGTGAAAAAAAAATGTGAATTTCTCTGGCTGTGTATAGCGTGACTGAATGTATTTAAAAAATGCTGTATTCTTCTCTGTGAGAAGGTTCGTTATTAATACAAAGTATATAAAAAGAAATATTGCCAGCCCTCTCTTCCTCCTTATGCCTGCTGATAGATAGTTTTACGTTAAATTTATTTTTCAGATATGCAAACTCAGCAGGCCATAGCAGAGCGAATTCCTAAGGCAGGAGTGGAGGGATTTGGAATCAAACAAGGAAAATGTTATGAAACCACTGGGGGAAATAAAGGAAAAGGCTTTTATGTTTTTTAAAATGTTCCTTGTATTGTATGTGTGCGTGTGTGTACTAAGAAAGAAAGCGAGCAAGAAAGCAGAGTTTATGTGTTGTGAATGTCTTCTCAAAATGCAGCGGCTTCAATGTAGGCCAACAATCCAGTCCCCTAAAATTTTTATCCGAACTTTCGGCACAATCCTACTCAGGTTTACTCAGAAGTAAGTCCTGCTGTATTCAGCGGAGCTTAGTCTCAGGCAAACAGGAAGAAGCTTTTGCAGCCTTAATTATGATAGTGGGAATTCTTGCAATCTGGAAAACGTTTCCCGGATCATGGCTCAAAACATCCATCTCTGGCCCCTGCCCGTTTTGCTCAACTTCAAACTTCTTTCCTCGAAAGCAGCTTCTGAGTGGAGCCCAAGCAAATATGTTTAGAGTTGTAATCCTAGGACCAGCTCATGCAGCTAGCTGCTCCTTTGCCGGAGGTTGCAGGGCTGTCAGTGGTCTAACAAGCATTGTACAGTGGCAAGTATTGTGGCAAGTGCTGCTTCCACATGGGATATGTATATGCAGCTGCTGCTGTGTGTGTGCTTGTGGCAGCTTAAAAAAAAAAAAAGGCCACTGCCATTGCATATATTTTTGGGCTGCAGGTATTTGGGGGCAGTAGATCCTACCATGGAAGTTCATACAGCCGTGCCATGAACACATCATCAGTTAGAGGTGACCAAGTGCATGAAGAAATGCATAGCCTTGAAAAAAGCTGCTAAAATATTTTGACTTGTTAAATGTTTTATCATTGTACAGTGCCCTTGGCTTACAGGAGTGTACTATTGCCAGTTGCCTGCACAGAATACCTTTTCGATTGTCAATAGACGGCCCCTTCCAATTCTACTGTTCTAGTTACCATTGCTTTCTGTATTATGGGTTGCCCCACTGTACGAGATGTGGAGCAGCAAGGAAACACAGGACCGGGTGCCGTATTGAGTCCATGTGCATGTTTTAGGATTGAACGTAGAGATGATCAGTATTCCACCATGGGCAGCCTGGTGTGGGGGCTGCATGCCAGAGGTGGGTGGGGTTGGGGGCAAAAATAGTTGGAACAACAGATGCAAGTCTTACCTTTGTTGTACAGTAGTTTTATATTCCACCCATGGGAATGTGAGGCTTCTGATACCCACACACATTTCTCCATCTGGCAGGCAGGCAAGCAAACAAGCAAGCGAGAGGCATCGTCCTAATTCAAGGGCGTGTTCCTGACAAGCGAAGGGACTTGAGGAGGATGTGAAGCAGGATAGTGAGAAGTGTGGCCTGAGGAGTCCTGAGGACCAGACAAGGGAGGCTTGCAGGCCTGTGGTTCTCCATCCCTGCTCAACACCACCCTCCCCCTGCTTGGGTGTGGGTCTAAAGCAGTCTTTCCCAAACTTGGGTCTCCAGATGTTTTTGGACTACAATTCCCACCATCCCTAGGCAAAAGGACCAGATGGGAATTATAGCCCCCAAACAGCTGGAGACCCAGGTTTGGGAAACACTGGTCTAAAGGTACATGAGGCCACTACCTTGCAGAAGCTAAGCAGGTCTAGGTCTCCGTTTGGTTGGTGTCTGGATGGGTGAGTGCCTGGGAACCACAGTCTACAGCCTTAGGGTCCATGATTGAAGAAGAATGCAAGAAAAGAAGTTTCAGCTCATCTGAAGTTAGACTGCTCAGTTTGGCCTTATACACTCCACTTGTTACATGGGAGAAAGTAAGTTTGCACTAATACATGGGGAAAAGAAGAGTGCCTCACATTTAAAAACCAATACACTGATTTTTGGACCTCAACAAAAAAAGAGGAGACACAAAGTAATGACCAGTAAAATACTAGGGGGACTATTAGCCTTAAGATTTCACTTCACTAGAAATAACAGGTAAAGCTAGAGGGGATTTTATGTCTGTGTGCCATGTTCAAAGGGTTACACTTTGCCTCCTGGTGTTATCCTGTACAGCTAGTTGGGAGGCCTGGTTTTCGTCAAGGAAAATATTAAGCATGTTATGTTGCTCAACATGTTTTCATGTGCATTGCTTTCTGTTGAAATTAGAATTCTGAGCCTGAATGTCAGCGATATGTTTTACAAAACTGTTTGTACTGGCACAAAATCTCTTCTGGCAATCACCATTAAATGCAGGCATGCCACTGGAGTACAGAAGTCTGTGTCTGTCTACTCAAGTCTTTGATTATCTCGCCTTTTATAACACAAAACACCACATTCAACAAGTATAAATGCACACATCATGCACACATCATGCACACACAAGTCAGGTGGGTGACTTGTGACCCTCCAGACTAAACTCCCATCGCCCCTGATCATTGGCCACACTTGGCTGGCTGGTGGGGTGAGAGGAGGGCTGATGGGAGTTGGAGTCTTTGAAACTACTGAAGGCACACAGGCTCCCCATCCCTGCTTTAAGGTATTTAGCTATGTCCAGACAGCCAATGCAAGACATAGCTAAGCAGTCCTTTTCTTGATACTCCTAAGTTTTCATGTAAATTTATTGCCCCAAAGAATTGTCAGGTGTGGAGGGGCAGGCTAAGCCAAACAAGGACGGGGGACAGGAGGATGACATACGGCTGCGACCAGGGAACAGAGGTTGAAGAAGGCAGGTATTTATACCTCTTCAGATCTGGCTGGTGAAACAGGACTTCTAGCTCCCTTCTTCCCGCTTGGGGAAGTTGCACAGCAAAGCAATAAGGAAATGGCAATAGCCCACTGAGAGGAATGAAGGAACCAGAAGGGGAAGGCACAGCCTGTCTGGCCAGGACCTGGTAGTGCTGGGAACAGAGTCATCCTCCTTGGTGCATCGAACATCTGCATGCTTGGCCATCTCTCAAGGCACAACAGTTGGGTAAACAAGAACCCCAGTGCTCTTCATTGTCCCTTCCCTGCTCCCAGCCTAGAAAACCAAAATGAGTTATGCAAAACGCTAAACACTGACAAACTAAGCAGGCAAAACGTAAGTAGTTTTGCATATTTACATCGTAGAACTCAGCTCTTCATGGTTCAGAACTGCCTGGATACATAATTTATTTAGTGTGGAGTACACACACCCCGGGGCACAGCACTCCGTGACTACTGAATGACAACTCAGATTTTAAGCAAACTTTAATTACAACACAGGAATATTCAGTGACAAACCTAGGCATGCAAAGCATAATCAGGGATATGAAATTAGGATAAAACGAATAAAGCCAGTAGAATGGATAAAATATCAGTAGCTAAAGAACAGTGACCGACGGCTACTTCTTCATGAGACTATCTGATGAAGTTACATATCTGAGAGGGAAGTCTTGATCTTCTATTCTCTTTAATTCAATTGCTATCATACTGTGGTGCATATATGAAAGTCACAACACTGAAACAAAAAAGTTCTGGTAAGCTTAAATGAATTCAGGATAACACTTTCCATGTTCAAGCTGGCAGGAACAAGGACACCAGCAGCAGCTTAGATTCTCCTGAGGTTGTTGATGAAAAATGTCACTGTAGCTCCCAGGTTCCTAGTCTCTCATAGGGTACAATCCTATGCACCTTTATTTGGAAATAAGTCCCTTTAAACTCAATGTGACTTACTCTGAGTGATCATGCACAGGAATAGGTGGATTAAAGTGATGGCTAGGTAAATTAGAAATGTGGAACTATTATGGGAACAAGGTGATTTGAGTCAAAGTCTTCATTGATCTGTGGGAAACTATATGAAAAACCTTTCATATGAATCTTACGACAATCAATGGACCTTACAAAAGCAATTTTTTCAACCTGTTATGGACTGATTCAAAAGATTATTAATTCAGGTTTGTGTAACTGAGTTTATTCCAAATTTTGCTGTCAAACAATTTCTCAACAATGGCTTTTTAAAAGAATTTTAAATTAAGCGTGGCTACCAAGATTTCATGGGGTGACCTGAGAAGTGCTACTGTGGTGCAGAGCTCTTTACAAAGAAATTTGGTTTGAGATTACAAGGGAATTTACGGAAAAGAGCACACTTACACATACACCTTATTCAATATACTAGAATTTCATCAAACCTGACCCAACAACTTGGACAAATGGCATGAACGCGAGGGCAAATATTATGGAGGGCATTGCATTTTATCTTGTTTCTTTGCAGATTCTATTTCATTTCATTTTTAAATTGCAGTAGTAAAAACTAGTTGTTTCTACAACCTAGTGCCCAACTTGTTCCACACCCCGGAAACAAGAAGACGAGCAGGGCAATCCAGTTAATGAACATATGTGGGTAGTCATAACTACAATATATGTACTCCAAACTTCTGCTGACCGTTACTTTACAGTGCACTACTTTTTGTGAAGAAACAAGACCTGTTTCTTGGCAGGAAAGGAAGGGAATAATTTGCACCCTGTACTCCTCACGTGTATCCATTCAACTGCAAATAGGGAATTCTTCTGTAACTGGATTTTTTTTAAAAAAAGAAAAGAATTGAAGCATCTTGTATCAGAAGCAACATCTGATACCATAAACTGCTGCAGTAACAGGGGAATCTGATTAAATCAGATCTTGTCGCCAGAGGCTTTAAGTTGAAACATGTTTGGCATACCACGTAGTGCAGTAAGTTTTTTTCTAAGCATCATTTTGAGGCTTGGCCTCCACCCTTTCCCCTTTCTTTGTTTTGTGTTCCTGTCCCTTTGGTGCTGCCTCCTTTTCCCTCCTGCTCATGACAGGAATAACGACAAAGTAAGGCAGAGGAGGAAAACCTAACAAGGGGCTGTTTATGGGACCAGGAATGCACATTTTCCCAACTTCCAGCTCAAAACCATCATCTCCATCTCAGGAAACCCAACATGTCCAGGAGAAGCCACCTCTGTCTCCATAGTGCTCTGTCATATTTCCAGGGCACTGCTGTGGCCCCTAGGCCCTTTCTCCCCTACCTTGAGATATCGGTAGCGAGGGGTTCAGGAAGTAAAGTGAAACAACTGCAGCTACTGAAGCTTAACTCGTTGGGGGCAGACGAACTCCAGTGCAAGATGATCCAAAAACAGGCTACAGCATGGGGGAAAGTTGGAAAACAGGATTTCAAAGGCACGGCTGTCAATCAGCAGAGTTGGTGCCCTTTACCGTGCTTTGATAAAAACGGTACCGTCAGGGGTTGTTGTTGCACATTCCTTCTTTTCAGTTACCGTCTCAACCTCCCCGGAAGCAGAGACAATGACAACAGTTTTAGAGGCCAATGTGGCTTTCTCTTTCTCGGCAATGGCTGCACACACCGCTAATATCTCGTCACTTTCAAAATCGTAATCCGGGATTGCTTCCTCTGAAGTCTCTCCCTGAGATGCCGTGCTTTGCGTCCCTGTCTCAGCTTTGGTTGCTTTCTTCTGCTGCTGTAATTTCCTCGCCCAAGACAGGTCTTCATTCCACAGTTCAGAGCTTAGTGGACAGATATGCAAGGCAACCTGGAAACTTCGGATGGCCTGTAAAGATGAGCAGGGACACAGCACAGTGAGAATTTGCCCACATGAAACAGACACTCTGGGCTCAAGAGATTAAGTCACATCAATGAGTAAAACACAGGTGATGTTTCATAAATGCCAATAGCAGTCGTTACAGAACCTGATTATTTTCAAATAGTAAGGTTCCACAGAACTGACTGCTGAACTTATGGGATATGGCCAAATCCTTGCCACAAACTCACTGGTGGCTTTGGATAAGTGTACTAATAATTCTTCACATTTATAAAGTGCAATTCCAGTCTTAGGGCTGATGCCCAAGGTCAGCTGCAAATAACGGGAGAGCTGCGAATTCGTGTGAGACTGTGATTCTGAAATCTGCTATCTTCCCAGATCATAGAAGGGAAACCACGACCTGCACTTCTTACCTGTAAAAGCTGAATAAAGCAGCAAGGGTGAATGAAAAATTTAAAAATGCATTACAAAAATAAGCACATCTTGCACATGCATCTGCTTCTTCCAGTTTTAGGGTATAAGCACCAGCTGTTTTAGATACTTCCTTACAATGCAAAATAAAGAAGGCATTGTTTTGCGTGTTGGTACATTGGCATTCAGCAGATTTATACTGTTTGGTGACTCAGAAGCTTCCACACATAGACATTGACAGAAGGTATTTCATTGTACAGGCCTCTGTTAAAGCTATTGGAACTGCTTGTAACAGAGCTTTCCTTCTGCCACTCCAAAGGCAGGAAAACAGAGCCAACTAATTCCTGCCCCAGTTGTCATTGCAACATATGCATTCCATATGGAGATGGATTGGTCCCAGCAGAAAAGAGCTGTGAACCTTGTGACTTCTGTGAAAGAAATGCTGAATCCCAGATAATAACTATGGCATGTTTGTTTTTCGTCTTGATCAACTGCCTTTGGTTTCCAAGGAAGAAAGGAAGAAAAGTGGGCGGCAGGGATTTGCATTTGAAGGCTACTTGCCAGCACTCAAGTTTCTGAACATGCTTGACACGCCAAATGTTTGAAACAGTGTAGCTTAATTATTTCAATGTAGCACCAGTCAACAGCTGTTAGCATCAAGAGGCTGCGGAACTGTGAGTAAATATGAAAATATCCGAAGTATTACAAAACAACTCAAGAACGCTTTGATTTCTTTCTTTTTTAAAGTTCCTCAGGGCATAGGTTTGTCACTGTATAACTTGGTCAGTAAAGTACCATTTGCTTTTATGAGGCTATAAATTGTATTACTAAGCACCTTTGTTCTAACAGCACATTCTAGACTAATGCCTGCTATTGGATAAATGGTCATTTCCATAGTCAGATGTAAGTCAGCCAAGGATGCTAAAATGTAACAGGATTAGCATAGCATTAAACAACCTGACTCCCACGAGTCAATTAACCCTAGCCCCTGCCAAAAACATCCTGTAAAAATCTGAATTTCCAGAATGAAGAAACTTCGTTTCAGGGCAATGCCTGAAAGCTAAGATACATCACAGAGAAGGGCTGATTACAAAATCAAAACTGGGCATCATTTTGAGAGAAATCCAGAAATTATATCGATAGGGTATCTACAAGAATGAATTAGAAGAGCCAGATGCTTTATTGCAAATTTATCAGCAAAAGCAATCCTTGAAAATGGAGAGACAAATTTGGTGGGGAGACAAAGTACAGTTGGCTACGTGAATGGTAAAATTGCTATCTGTTCCAGAATTCATTCCTGCCATAATTTAATGGAATTTAGAATCCTTAAAAATAAATGGCCAATTCTCTCTCTCACACACACACACCACCCGCTTTCAGTTTCAGGAATAATATAGGAAGGGAAAAGCTATATAACATGGCCTGATGCAACATCTGTGCTTGAGCACCCAGGACTCCACTTGGAACTACTAATCCATTGGAAGTCACAGTAGTCACCTATTTCATAGGGAGAAAGACGATCTCCTTGCAGCTCTATCTCCCCCTGCTTTCTGCTGAACTGCTATCAACTCACCATTTCCCCAACAGTTCCAAATGTGTGTGACCCGCATGGCTGGGTCAGAGGATGGGCTCCACACAAAGGGCCACACCTCTCTACATGAGAGATACCTCATAGAATGTATTCAATAGGGAGTGTCTTTTGCACAGTGTAAACAGAGCTAGGAAACTTATTACTAAGTGGCTCTGTATGCATCACTTACAACAATATGTATACTTGCATCTGCAACTCAGATTATTTAATGTACTGTTTATTATTATTCGTTTATTATGTTTATATCCCACCTTAGTAAACTATTTCTTCTGCAGGACCCTAAATAACCTGTACAGTGGCTATAGATATATTGGTAAATGGCTCCCTGCAATACAATGGCAATACGGCCAAGCAATTTTTCTGTTCTCTATGTTACTTCGTTGGAGTAATCTCTCATCCCCCAGTATGACTGGTTTTATCATGCTGTCAGATTAGCAAAACTTGACAACATGCACATTTGATCTGAATCATTATTATTTTTACGCACACACACCCACCTTTCAGAGTTTTCATTTATATTTACAAATACAGAACCACAGAATTGTAGAGCTGGAAGGAACCCTGAGGATTATTCAAGCCCCTGCCATGCAGGAATACGCAACTTGTGACATACAGTGATCAAACTCGCAACCTTAGCATTATCAGCACCGCACTCCAACCGAGCTATCCAGCTTGCTTATAAATAGTAAGACAGTCCCTTTTGTGCACAGACAACAGATTTTAAAACAATTATGTTTTCCCGCGGTATCTTTGCAACATGTAATGTGCATGTGTAGTTTGGACATCAATCCAGGGCATCGAATTTGACTGTTATGCCTGTGTGCCTATTTTCACCTGTGAAATATTGGATGTCATGGGAAATTAAAGGTTTCTGAATCCAGAGACACCAGCTAGGCAAATGGATCAAATTCAAGACTCTGAACCAGCTGCTGGAGATCAGGAGAGCACTGCACTTAAGACTATCAGGCAGGAGCCCCCAGAGGAAACTCCTGGACTAACAGGGGCTGCAGGGCTAGGGTTTAGACCCAAATAGGAACTTTCCCACGCCACCACATGCCTCTTCATCACGCTTCACTAGTCCCTGCAGGGCAGAGGACACACTGGGAGGGAGGCTATGGAAAGAAGGAGGATGGTTAGTCTTCAGACCTGAGGGTTGGCCCTTTAAAGGGTGGAGCTCAAATGAGGCAGTGCAGAGAAAGTGGTTTAAAGGGTCTCAGTTTAGTCTCAACCTGAGCTAGTGGCTCACTTGGAGCTATCCATGGTACTGCAACGTTTGACCATCCTTGCCTTGCCTTGCCTCCTCCTTCTCAGTGAGATCCAGTGTGGGACCAGAAAACGATACTTAACATCCAATATATATTAATAATGATAATAGTTGGAAATCATAACTTGACTAGGCCTCCCTCATGTTATCATGTTCCAAATTTGCTGCTAGGGAACTGCACGCAAACTGATGTGAAGATGCTATTCAACTTCCTGGTTTATGCTGACTTTTTCTTTTGGCCTACTTTCACACTTCTTCCTTTAGCTCTTCTACAGCAGAGCCAATGCAAATAAAAGGACTGCCTTTACATCTGTTTCTTTCTAACCTGAGTAGCTTTCCCCCAAAACAAAAACACCCAAAAGGGTTCGTCAACGATATTAGTATAAAAATCACAAGATGCTGAAGCTGATCTCTATCTATTCCAAGAACAGGTCTGACGTATTTTGAGAAAGCATTTTTATTTCGGATAATTTCCAAGCTGCTGAAACAAATAAAATTTCCTTTGTTCTGCTTGCCTGACAAATGGCAGAACAAAGAGCATCCATTTCTTCGAATAATGCATAAATTACACTGAAGCAAAGTGCTTCTTTGAAACACAAGGGATATTTTCTTATTACTTTTCAAATAGATGATCAGCAGAGAACTCTGGGATTGTTTTTGGAATTCTCCCATAAAGGCAGCCATAGTCCCAAAAGCTTTTGGCTATTTATAAAAATGAGAAAAATTGCTACATTTCATCAAAAACATCACAAGCCCTCTCCATTGTCGCCCAAGGCTGATTAGTGGAATCATCTATCTATAGTTCTCAAGCCCGTGTGTTTGAAACTTGCTTGCTTTTAAAGTTTTTAATTGTTCCTTTTGGGATATCTGGTATTCTGATCTAAGGAAGTTTAAAGATGATTTCATGCACTGTGAAGGTCGCAGCAAGATATAGCTGTATGTCTGTAAACAATTTGGAATGGAAGATGAGCCTTTCTCCTTTTTTATACTTACCAGTGTGATTTCTCCTAATCCAAGCTGGGCACGTCCCAAAGTTTGCCATGCCTCCCAAGAATGGGGATCTCTTTGGACAGCCATTTCTGCAGCATGCACTGCAGGGAACATTTCATGCAGAGACATCAGCACCTAGTAAGGGGATACACAACAGAACAAACTGTAAACTAACCAATTATATTGCAAAAACGCAAAAAGAGTTCAAAAGGCGAGTATGCAGAGGGCTTGCAATGTAGATGGTTCTGAAGTCAGTTATGAGCTATGTAAAAGGTAAAGGGACCCCTGACCATTAGGTCCAGTCATGGGGTTGCGGCGCTCATCTTGCTTTATTGGCCGAGGGAGCCGGCATACAGCTTCCAGGTCATGTGGCCAGCATGACTAAGCCGCTTCTGGCAAACCAGAGCAGCGCACGGAAACGCCGTTTACCTTCCCGCCGGAGCGGTACCTGTTTATCTACTTGCACTTTGATGTGCTTTCGAACAGCTAGGGTGGCAGGAGCAGGGACCGAGCAATGGGAGCTCACCCCATTGCGGGGATTCAAAATGCCAACCTTCTGATCGGCAAGTCCTAGGCTCTGTGGTTTAACCCACAGCGCCAACCTTATGAGCTAGGTAGTTACCTCCAAAAGAACTGTCACAGAATCCTAGAATTTTAGATTTGGAAGGTACCCCAAGGCTCAACTATCCCAACCCCCTAAAATGCAGGAATCCTGCTCCCAGCCATCCCTGCGTGGGCTTGAACTACCAAGCTTCTGGTTCAGTAAGATGCACTGGCCCACTGCGCCACAGGGAAGAGGGTTGACTCTGAACTGCACTGATTTTTAAAAGCACATAAATGGAGTCACACTTATGCAATTTGCTCTTGTCCTAAATGCTTTCTTAAAAAGCAACCCGGTAGTCAGTTTGACGATCCGCTTCGTTAACCAGTTTTGTAAACAACGTAAACCCAAACTCATACCAATACAAATACCAGTTGGGATTCCAATGACCACCACTCACAGAGAACTCTGTATTTAGCCTGAAGAAGGGACTATCAGAATGAACCACCTACCCAGAGTAAATTGGATAAAGCCTGGAGGAAAGAACCAAAAATTATCAGTATATTCAAGATCAGTAACAGATTAACCCTTGCTTTTCTTGCACTGAACACATGGCTGACAGCATATGAATGATTAGTGAAGACTAAAGTGGAATAAAGCAGATATTAAGTGGTTCCCAGGAGTTCAATTTTTTTTAAAAAAGATGATTATACTGTACATCTTAAATATATGCTCAGTTAAAATGAAATTTGAATGTAAGACAACCATATGGAAATCTACATCGCAGTTAACAAAAACAAAGGAGACGGAGGGTCAGCCCCTTAGTCCCCAGCCCTTAAAACTGAGTGGAAGTCCTGTTGCCACAACCACCACAACCTTACACATATCTCTCCTGCCTCTAAGTTAGCAACTTGAAAATCAAATGGATACTTGTCTAAGGGCTACTTTTGCCCCTGAGGAAGCTGGTTGCTTACTGCCTATCTTAACGATTTCTCTCAAAATCAAATCCGGAATCTTCAATCAAACTCACTGAGCTTAAGAATGCTGGCCAAAGAAATCTGCATGCTGAGGTCAAGCATGATCACCAGTATTGTACAATACAGTGGAACCTCGCGTTACGTACCGTCCGCCTTACAAATGCTTTGGATAACGAGCTCCACTAACTTGGAAGTAGATGCCTCTACTTGAGAACTTTGCCCCGGGATGCAAGCAAAGTCGCGCACCAGTCGCGCAGCAGTGGGAGGCCCCATTAGCGAAAGCGTGCCTCATGTTAAGAATGGTTTCAGCTTAAGAATGGACCTCCGGAACGAATTAAGTTCGCAACTGGAGGTACCACTGTAAATCATATATAATGTTATGGATGATACCGTTGTCCGAGAATTAGCTAGTCCTCACAAGCATTAGGATTAAGCTCCTGGGTCTACAAGACAACATCCTCTGTTTCATCAGGATTGATTGGTTGAACTCACAGTCCTAATTTTAGACAAACTACTCCATTACTCAAGTTCTACAATATGCTCAGCTTTTAAATTTTTGAATATTTAGGATTGTTATCAACATGGACATATAATTTCCATCTCACGCAAAAACACTGTATCTCCCCAGTAACTACCAGACCTTGAGTTCTATCCAATTAAGTCATTCCCCATACCCTCTGGAGCAAATATAGGTGTACAGGGGGAGGAGAGGAATAGGAAATTCAACGAGGGACCACAATGTCCTAATTGGGTTCAACCATTTGTTTCTGGAAAGTTCTGGTCTCATTCAGCAATGACGAAAGAAGCGAACCCTATCAGATTCACTGTCGCTTTCACTCAGGCTCATTTTGTTTGCTCATCTTGTCCAAAGAGGACTTGCGCAGGAACATTGCACCAGCTGTCAAGTAGAAAAGACTTAACAGAAGCTTCTATTTCATTTGGATGTTTGCGGAGCGTGTGGTAGATCCAAGTCTCTGCCAAGTATTAATTCTTCCCACAAAACATTGGGAAATGGGAACAAATGGGAACAATTGCAGGATACTGCCGGTTGTAAAAACTGGAATGTGGGAAGCTCTTCCCAGGACTTGTTTGTTCATCATCTAGGTCAGAACAATGAGCTCAGAATCAGAGTCCTTCTACATTAAAGCCAAAATTGGAAACCAGCAGCTACAATAAAACTTTCGCCGTCTGCAACAATAATTTTTTTTGCTGATTCTTCACCTTTGCCTTCCGATTATATCTCCCATGAGACAGATGCAGCCTTGGACACAACAATTCTATATTTGATCTTCCGCACACCAAGCAGTCACCTTAATGTTGTCAGTGACAAATAATGCTATTGTGGCATATTGCTTGGGAGAAACAACTCATTCATATTTATCCTGTTGATTCAAAATTCTATTGCTGCTAATGCAGTTGCCAACAGTCTTGTTAAGTCAGGAGTGAGGAACCTATTTCCCCCCAAGATGAGATTGGTAAGTGAGAAGGCAGTGAATACAATAATGTGTGGATGCAGGCACTGAAAATGCACTTCAGTGGGTGTGGAGTTGCACTTGGATATGTGCGCCCTTGGACACAGCTACATGCCTACATGGTTATGGTGAAAGATAGCACAATAAAAGCACTTGCTGCATTACAAATGCTTCATAAATTAAAACTGCAGGCAGGGCAAACAAGTAGGTTAGGATGACACCATCTGGCAGGTTTACTAAAACAGAGCAGGAGCCAAAGCAGTGCAGACACAGAGGCAGCCAGAATGTTTATGGCTGAGCACTGGCTTGATTCAGAAAGTTGATACAGCATCGCCTGAGCAATCGAGATGTGGTCAGACATCAAGAGATGTGGTCAGGGAGTTAAAAAGGGTCTCATGGCTTCCGTTGAGGTGGCTGTGAAAGCGCTCATACATAGATTTAAAGATCTTGGACTCTATGATTTTTCAATGCTGACAGTAAGAGCTGTTCGACAGTGGAATTTGCTGCCAAGGAGTGTGGTGGAGTCTCCTTCTTTGGAGGTCTTTAAGCAGAGGCTTGACAACCATATGTCAGGAGTGCTCTGATGGTGTTTCCTGCTTGGCAGGGGGTTGGACTCGATGGCCCTTGTGGTCTCTTCCAACTCTATGATTCTATGATTCTACCAGCTATTAATTGAAGAAGCTGCCTGTGTACTCAGGGATCTATTCCAAGTTTGTGAGTAGTGAGAGGAGTCATTTGTAGATAAAACAGCCATGCAAATAAGGTAGGAAGAGGCAGCTCAGGGCCATCATATTCTGATGAACCACGGTCCCCTCGCCCCACCATCCCCTCTAAGCACAGAAACCAACTGCCTGCCACTACCATGTGCCATGCATCCAGCTAGCTCCTAAGGGAAACATTGGCAGCATACCAGTCCCTGTCACCCTCCTGCCCTACACACACTATGGGTAGAGAGGGTGCTGCATGTGCAATTAACCCAGAAAAACGCATACAGACTTATTCGGACTACTTTTAAAAGTCTATCTGCTCTGTGTTTTACTTGCATCACGGCCTATGGTCAGAAAAAATAAATTCACAAATTCTTACTCCGCTGAGGCTCTGTCATGCATTACCTGTGATTTCATCTCATAGAGGGTAGCATCTTCTGGAGTTAACTGAAGTGCTTCATCCCACTTCTGAATAGCCTCCCGGTACCTGCAAGTTGTTAAAACAATAGTTCATTCTTACTAGATTTATGGGTGTTTCAAAGGCCGGTATTCTTACCTTTTCATTAAGGGACCAACATTGCTTTGACTAGATAGTCATTCCAAACATCTCACAAATATAAATTAATGTTCCATCCCACCACCCCATGAAACACAGGGGGTAAAAAAAGAAAAAGACAGCGCAATTGCAATTTCTTATTGTGTATTTCGCCAAACATGGCTTAGTATGCATTTGAGCAGATGCACATAATTGGTGGGAATAAAGTAGGCCTCCGCATGTAACCTCTCAGCCAAATCTGGAGCCTACTCTACATGTTTTAGCCATTCCTGGGGTCAGTGCAATAGCAAGTTCTCCTATGTCCGTTGCAGAAAATAACAGACTGTTCCCCTGCTCGTGTGTATGCACAGAACCCCCGTGCAACTATGCTCGTGTCTTCCTTTCAACTGAAGCAACTAGTTCATGTGTGAAAATCTGAACCTGTGGAGATATACATATGATAAAGTGCACAGAGAAGCCCTGATGGATGAATAAAACTTTCTTTTGGACCTTGGAAACCCCATCCTCAGAAGGGGCAGCAGAATCTGAATGACTATGTCTGAGGGAAAAACGTACTAGAGAAAAAAAGTGAGCGATCATTTAACTGCATTTTGTTAGCTTCAAGCTGTCATCATAGAATCACAGAACTGTAGAGGTGGGAGAGAACTCCGAGAGTCATTGAGTCCAACCCCCTGCAATGCAGGAATCTCAACTAAAGCATCCGTGACAAATCGCCATCAAAGCTCTGCTTAAAAATGTCCAAGGAGAGTCTACCACCTTCCGAGGGAGTCTGTCCCACTGTCAAGCAGCTCTTACTGCCAGAAAGTTCTTCCTGATGTTTAGTCAGAATGGTGAAACAAGATTTTGATGAGGTCGTTCTTTCTGAAACTTGGCAACGAAAGTGTGCTAGTGTGGTACTGCACCACCTTTAAAATTATGAAGGCATCCTATACAACTTTTTGCTGTAGCAACTGTATAAATAAAAACTAATTTATAGCCCATCTTAACATTCCACAAGTGCTGTTTACTTTAAATGGAAGGAAAAACCTTACAAAATGAATAATTATACAGTTTCATGAGAAGTATACAATGCATTATAAAGTGAGTTTTCTATTTTGAAAATGGGGTGTTTTTTTTTACAGAATTGTACAACTTTTACATTTTTTATTAACAGCTGCCTCACAATCATATCTCACATTCAAATGTAAAACATGCAATTATTATTTTTAAAGAAAGAAAAAACCACAGGAAAAACAGATATTCTTTTTTTTTTTTTAAGGACAGAACACGTAGAGAACTTTTTTTAAAAAATAATATTTATTGCTTTTAAAAGTTACAAAAAAGTAGAAAAAAGAGAAAAAAAAGAAAAAAAGAAAGAGAAAAACAACACAATATATAAACAATACAAACCCACCCTAAGCCCATTGAACTAAACACATGAACAAAGCAAGACAAAAACAATTTAAAAACATCCCTCCTTTTCCATACTCTGTCCTTCATTCCCTTGTTTCTTCGACTTCCTCACACCTCCCTTCTTGTATCCCGCTTCTAGTACTTGTTTCAGCAAATCCTTTCCATCTTTCTCTATTTTCTGTCATATTATAAATAACATATTCTTTAACCTTATTTCCCATTAACGGTTGATTATTTATATACACCCAACTTCTTATAGCATTTCTGCTAGATCCATAAAATATCATTCCACCATTTTTCTGACAGTCATTACTTTAACAAAATTTCTAAATAAACACTTTAAATTTTCCATTAATCTTCCACTATCTCCTCTCCCTGGCTTCGGATTCTGCCAGTCCTTTCCGTCAGTTCCATATAATCCATCAACCTGGTGCCCTTATATCCGAGGCTCTTAAATCTCTTCCAAGTCCCTTCTGCAGGTCTTCTTCATACTCTTTGATGCTCAGGAGCAAATCTCGGGAAAACTCCAGCCTAGCAGTACTTTTGTTCCTTCTGGACAATTCAGCCAAATTTCCGAAGTTAAAAGTCCATAGAGTGTTTCAGAACGTCTTTCAGGATTCCTCCAATTCTAGCGACCCCCAAAACTTCAAGCTCCTCCAAGCCCAGGTCCATGTCCCAAAAGTCAGTCAATCCCTGGATAGAGGGTTCTTTCCAACCTTCCTTCTTCAATCCAAGCCGGGATCCTAGCCTCAAAATTTGACTTTTGCTAGATTCAGTCATGAAAGACCTCAATTTATAATCCTCAATCTGCTTCTGAGAAATTAAGGATCCTGCTTGTACTACTTTTGGTGTCACATCATCAGCTTTCTCCTTTTTCTCCACCATTTTCACATCATCAGCTTTCTCCTTTTCCTCCACCATTTGTCCAACCAAGGTATGTTCCTGTACCAAATCCTGAGTTTTTTCTGTATTGACACTCACTTTTTGATTCAAATTAATCACGTTCTGTTCCAAGTTGTCAATTTTAGAGATCATGTCACCTGTCTTTTTATGTAGCTGTTCCAGCGAATAGTTTATCTTGTATAATACAGTCACAATGGCTTCTCCTATCAACATTTTGAGTGATCCAAGGTCAGACTCCAATTTTCAGAATCTTATCTTGCAGCTGGAGCTCTCCCTGTTGCACTCCTGTAACAGTTTCACATGCTCCCTCTAGAGGGAAACAGTCTCCGTTTGTATCAATTCTTTCAAGCACGACTCAAGCAAGTAACAATAGTTTCAATTTTCGGTTACTTTTTCCTCCATTTTTAAACGCAGAAGAGGACAATGGAAATAGTGCCTTTCTTATTTTAGCTAGCTGTCAAATCCGTTCTGTCAATAAACATTCCCGAACGTCATCTGGCAGCCCTTTTCCAGGTTCAGAGCAGTGGCAATTTAATTTTGACTCTCTTCTGCAGGCACACTAAATCCAAAACTTCCCCTCTCTTCTCCTGCTTCCAAGAAGGGTTATGTATTTTTGTCTGGTGGGAATTTAATCCTTTATCAAAAGCTTTCAAAGACTTTAGCTTGTAACTTCTTTGCTTCAATCTATTTACAAAACAGGAGGCGGACTTCCTGTTTAGAGCCTTCCTGCTTCAGCGCCAAATTAAAGTGTTTCAATATCCAATTCTCCGTTCTACTCACGGGTAGTCGTTTAAAGTCCAATTGTCCACAGGAAAAAGTCAGCGCTCTCCGGCAACAGCAATGCGGCTTCACTCCGTGAAAGAAGCGGTTGATTCAAAGCACCGCGCCGCTCACCCCACGTCGCTCCGGATCCCCAAAACAGGGTTTCCCCGCGAGTAGGGGAGGCGCAAAGGTGCCAGCCAAATCCCAGGTTCACAGGCTTCTCCCGCCTGTGATTTCTATGGGTCTCCGCCTTCACCGTGGCGGTCAGACCCTGCTTTTCATGGAGCAAATTCCTCCCGGTCGGAGGAATTCAGCCATTGCCGGAGGCGCCTCCCCGGAAGTCCAGAACACGTAGAGAACTGAATGTTGGACGTGCTACTGAAAATATCTGGAGAACAAACAAACACCACAAGGCTGCAAAATTGTCAGGGCAATGGCTGATTAAAACCATGACTTTTGAGCTGTAATAAAAGTTAAACTCTTTGGGGGCTTATATAGTCAGCAAAATGAATGAAAAAATGCAGGCCATAATCCATGCCAAGCAAGAAGACAACATATTTTCCCATGAATAGGGAAAAAAAATATTTGCATACACTTTTTAACAAGGACAAATTCAGCACAATGAATGAAGTGCTGCTCTTCCAGGTCAGAATCTGAAACTTTTGGATCTAGAGGCTACTACAGAGGCCTCAAACATTTTGCCAACACAAATGATGTGGAACCTAGGGCTGTGAAAGGAATTTGACATAGCATCTCCTCCTTTCCCTGCTGCCTCCCAATCATATGATAAAAATAGGGTTTTGAAAACCCTTGGCGCCTCAGCGAGACACCGAGTTCTGCCCAACATTGGAGGGGCTCATCGCGTGTGCATGACATCACACATGTGATATCATGAGTGCTGGGAGGAGGCCTGCTGCCCTGAAGATTGGGGGGGGGGCGGCTCAGCCCTGTACCCACATATTTTCCAATTCCAAAGCATATCAAACAATGCGAAAAATAAAAATAAAAAATTCGCATGCCACCATTGAGAGATGTGTATGAGAAAGACTGGCATGGAAAAGTAAGGAAAGGTTTAAGCTGTCTTTTCTAACCCTAAATTTCAAGCATGGTTCACCCATAATGGGACAAACATGCCTAATGGTGCATACAACTATTTTGCTGCATATGCACACACTGACTCTTCACATCTCAGCCATTATGTAGAACTGGCAGAGGGGTTTGTGAGATCTACATCATTCCCCAAATTGTTACTTAGAGGAAGAGGGTGATGGGAGAGGACTGGTTTATTTGCTGATGATACTACAATGGGCTTTAAATCTATAATACAATAGCATTATCCCTTATGCTTCTTCCCGGGGTGTTAAGGCACACTTTACCAAGAAAAGTTGGCGGGTTCGCTTTATTTCTGCTTTCTACTGGAACATCTCCTGATCACAATGGTGGAAAAGTTCAGTGAAAAGACCCTTTAGGTTCCACAATACAGTCGTACCTCATGTTACGTCCGCTTCATGTTACGTTCTTTCAGGTTACGTCCCGCGGCAACCCGGAAGTACCGGAAAGGGTTACTTCTGGGTTTTGCTGCTCGCACATGCGCAGAAACGCAAAATGACGTCACACGGGTGCGCAGAAGCAGCGAATCGCAACCCGCACATGCGCAGATGTGCCACGGCAGGTTGCGCTCTTTTCGTGTTGCGAATGGGCCTCCGGAATGGATCCCGTTCGCAACCAGAGGTACCACTGTACCATCTCCATGCCTTTGTAACATTACCATCTGCTCACTACCAGATCCAGAAATCACCGCATGGCAGCAGAGAAATGCAAGTGGGTTATGTCTCCATTTTGTTGCTTAAGATCAAGGAAACAGGCTGAGGGACCTCACACATACACAAGGAGAAATTGTGTGACCAAAGCGAACCTCAGGCCAACACTGTTTCTAGCCCCACATGAAAAGAGAAGGCAGCAAGGGGGGAACTGTGCCAGTTATCTCCCGCTATCTATGGAATCAACTCAAGTCATCTTTGGAGTACTGCTGCTTCCCAGGCCACAAAGATAATATCAGAAGCCAAAGGACGCATGACGCTCCTCTCCATGCCAGCCTCATCTCATCCAGAAACAGGAGCAAGGAACCACGGGTCCTTCCATCTGAACTGAGTTTTTTAATGTTACCTCTGTGATGTGCACTGATGAATTCAGACTCCTTTGCAAGGAAGTAGTATGAGAAGGTTATGAAAAGGGCATTAATTGGCTTTGCTCTTACATAAAAGGAAACATTAAATAACATTTCCTTGTGAATAAGAACCAATTACCACCTCTATCACCAAGCTGGAAAATTAGAAGCCTGAAAAACTCTCTCTAAAGGCCAATTTCACACACGCACAAAAAACCCCAGCAACTTGTCCATTAAGATTTGTGGATGCATGAAAACATAGCTTTGCTGGATCCAGTCACAGGCCCAGCTAGTCTAGCAGTTTGTTCTCACAGCAGCCAACCATATGCTTGTCGGAAGGCCACAAGCAGGACACAAGAACAACACTCTCCCACTCATGATCCCCAGCTACTGGTATTTAGAGGCATACTGTGTTTGACATAGTGTTATAAACTCAGATATATAGGCGTCAAATGGCTCCTTTAACCAGGGTTGTAGTCAACTAAACAGAATGTCTAGTTGCCATTTTTGGACTAGACGGCTCGAAAGCTGTATTTTTCAATAAATTTTTTGGTTCCTGAAATTCATTCTGACTGTGCAGATAAAATATAACAGATAGAATTATACAGGATGTGTTGCACCTTCAGGCATGCACCTCTGGATGGTAGAGATGTCAAGTGTCATCCTGGCGCCCGGGTATCTTCACTTGGTCACAAGCCTTGCACCTGGTGAATTTCAAATGCTGGTCTGGTACAAGAAACAGTGAGATGCCATCACAACTGATAGTCATGGATGGATGACAAAGAACATAGCAAAAGCAACTCCCACTTCTTCTCAGCTCACCAGATAACCCAAATCTTGAAAAACCAAGGCAGACTGCAGTTCTGAAACATACTCAGACCTATTGTTGGAAAATGTTTGAGGGAATTTGGAGCCTTCAGTGAATGCATCAGCATTCATGGTGGAACACTGCCAACAGCAAGGAGACTAAAAAACACAGATCAGACAGCATTTTTGCTAAATTTTAAGATACACAATGTTAATCTTCTTCCTTTAAAGTAAGGTAGCAGATAAACAGACATCTCTGGAGACTATATCTGGAATGCCTGAAGTTCTCGTGCTTACAAATATACAGGCAATCTACTTAACTCCAGCGGCGTCAAACATTTCAAACCATTTACACATAATTCCATGGACCTAATATTGCAGTAAGAATCCCATGAGCGCACACTGGACTACATATTATGTTTTAGTCAGTTATATTGATGTAGCTGATATATTACCTTATATAATTATGATTCATCTACATAACACTTTATGTTTATAGCAACAACTTTGATAAACATAACAATGATCTCTGATATATTCACTTGGTGGGAGGGGGGGTGAAACACACTCCAAGTAGACTTTAAAAATCATAGTTGCCTGGTAGTCTTTGGTACTGCTGGAATTTTAAAGATTTCTTTCAAACCACTTTGAATGCTTTGTTTTTATGCCACTTTTTTATTACAAAGAACTTCTAAAGTAAACTAAAATAAAGTAGACCAAATATCTAAAATATTATGCTATGACAGTGGTACCTCGGGTTACATACGCTTCAGGTTACATACGCTTCAGGTTACAGACTCCGCTAACCCAGAAATAGTACCTCAGGTTAAGAACTTTGCTCCAGGATGAGAACAGAAATCGTGCAGTGGCGGCGCAGCGGCAGCAGGAGGCCCTATTAGCTAAAGTGGTGCTTCAGGTTAAGAACAGTTTCAGGTTAAGAACGGACCTCCGGAATGAATTAAGTATGTAACCAGAGTGTCAGGGAACTGCCATCGGAGCCAGGGGGAGAGGGAGGGCTCCAGAGGGATTCCGGAGAGCGTCCCGGGAGGGAGAGAAGCAGCACATCTTCTGGGGAAGGAAATCAGCGTAGCACCAGTGGAGAAGGGGGGCAGATGGGGGAATCAGCGAGGTGGCTCCATGACTCCTCGCCGGGGACCAGCGGGGAGAGCACGGGTCCTCCGCTGCCCACACCCTCCCTGCGCAGAAGGCTTCCGCGCAGGGAGAGTAGGCAGAGACTAGGCGTCAAATAACTTATTTGCTGGAAGAAGTTCAAGAAACGCCCACTAACGGATTCTGCCAGCGATTGAGACAGCCACGGGCGAGTGGCTGTCCAGACAGAAAGGGTTCACTCAGGCAACCCAGCCAGGTGTGGCGCCGATTTACGCACGAGCAACCCCTAGAACCAGTACACAGAGGTACCACTGTATCACTAAGAACTGAAAACATTTCTTTCACTCTTCCAAAGTTCAGGCTTTGGTGAGCCTTAAGATGTTGGGAGCCACTGTAGGCACAAAGGTTTGCTTTATTTACTTAGAAAATTTGTAATCTGCTTTTGTTTTCCAAATTGAAACTGCCAAGTTACAAAACAATAAAAGTAAAATAATAGTAGTAGAGCAACAAAACAGCAAAAATCCAGCAGAAAAAAGAGATACACTACCCGTTTCAGACATTTAGTATACCTGCTTTGAACACCTGGTCTGATGCACCTCAGATGGGAGGAAACTCCATAGGCACAACAGCCCCCTCTGAGAGAACTCAAACAACTGTAGATGGCGAACTTGGCTCGGTACCACATTGTTAAGTTGGCCAGTCATAGTGCCCTGTCTCCCGCCCCCAAAAACACATAAAAGCTCCTGTAAGTAAAAAAGAGATCTTTGTGCAGGCAAATAACGGTATAGGCTCAGCAACAGGCACAAGGCTCAGGAGCCATGCTTCAGGAGTTCAGGAGCAGGGCAAGAAGTTCAGAACTGGACAGAGACAACGAAGCTGTCCCAATAAGTTTCCCATGCCCCACCCACCAAGGTGTGGCGCATGCGCTCGCCTTGTGGGAATGTTGGAATAACAAATCCATGTTCCTTCACGTAGTCTGCCCCATCTGCAAAGGTGGCAGCTGATTCTAGGTGACAAGACTGCACCCCCTTGTTTGGGCTCCTGTTCAATTATTGACACCTCCGGTTCCTCCCTGCCCCCCATAGCTGCTTCAAACCTTTACCAGTTTCCACTGGGCTCTCTGCTACACCCATAGGAAAGTTGGGGGGAGGAGCCAGTAAGGTTCCAACTATTCAGGCCCCGCCTTCTGTTTTCCCCCCTCCTCCTCTTTCGAGTCTACAAATCCAAAGCCAATCCTGACAGCACTGCAGGGCTTGTGTCAACAGCATCCAAAGGAAGCAGCTTGCCCTGTGCCGCTTGTTAAAGGGAACTATTGTTTTTCTGTTTCAAACTAGTGCTGCTATATTTCTATCTGACAAAGAAACTGCAGTATAATCACCATGTACAATACTCTCATGTATAGGCACACAATAAATTAATGAAAAGCCAGGTCAAAGAACATTGTGTGAAGTTTATCACTCTTAAACTCGTCATAGTATCTGCTATCCGATAAGAATATCCTGGTACAACCTTCCCAGGTTGATAAGAAGAGCAATATTATTTCCATACAAGTCAAATTTACTCTCAAAACATTTATAAACAAGGAGATCTCAGGAGACATCAAATTGCAGATGTCTGACCTGACAATGTCTGTGGGTGGTGGGGGCGGAGAATGAGGTTTCCTGGCAAAACCAGACCAAGACATTCATAGTTAGCATGTCAAAGGTTGAAAGAGAACAGGATAAAAGACCCCCCTGAAAAGGAAGCTGTTTTCTTCCTTTTATCTCTCACAAATGAGAGGTTCGCCTTTTTGTTACTCATTTCTTTTTTTAAAAGGACCTCTGAGAATGATCTAGCCAGATTTCCTTCTATAAAACACAGAGACACTGCAGGACTTGGAAAAAAGATTTTTTTACTGAAGGGGCTTATCTTTTTAATTGGCCATTGATTATATACATCAGTGAATGAATGGCCTGTGGCCACATCGCAAAAACCAAACACCAGCAAAAAAATGGTTCCAAAAGTGACAGGACGTGGTACTGCTGATTTAGCTGGCAGCGTTCTTCCATCTGAATCACAATTACTTATTACAGCGGGGATGAACTGTGATTCTGAGAAACACAGTGCTGTTGGAGGCGTCTATTGGCTGAAATAATGGGCAGCTAAGTCTTGGGACACGGGTGGTGCTGTTCTCTAAACCACAGAGCCTAGGGCTTGCCAATCAGAAGGTCGGCGGTTCGAATCCCTGCGACGGGGTGAGCTCCCATTGCTAGGTCCCAGCTCCTGCAACCTAGCAGTTCGAAAGCACATCAAAGTGTAAGTAGATAAATAGGTACCGCTCTGGCGGGAAGGTAAACGGTGTTTCCGTGCGCTGCTCTGGATCGCCAGAAGCGGCTTTGTCATGCTGGCCACATGACCCGGAAGCTGCCTGAGGACAAACGCCGGTTCCCTCTGCCAGTAAAGCAAGATGAGCATCGCAACCCCAGCATCTGTGACTGGACTTAACAGTCAGGGGTCCCTTTACCTTTAGTCTTGGTACTTTGGTCATATTCAATTGTGGGTAAGAAAAAGGTCTCTCTTAAAAGGTGTTAACTCAAGATCACTTAACACATCAGCTTATGTGTTTTTTGACCTCACAAATGAGGGTAAAAAAGAAGAAGTAAAGGGATGGAAACTAATTTTTTTCAGTGTGTGTTTATGGGTGGAAATGAGGTTTCTACCCACATTGTGTGGACTAAGGGAAAGGCAGTTTTATTGATTTGATTTGATATCCTTCCTGCACCTTCCATTTCTAAGCTGTTGGTGGCAGTTGATTAAAAACGGCCTGGCAATTTTTGTTTGTTTGTTTAAGGAACAAGGAAAAAAAACCCATAAAGCATATACAAAAGTAGTGCAAAAATTAGAAATATATAAGCATGTATTTCAGAAACAGATTGTGATACAGAATAGCTAGATTATATCACAAATGGTGTCACCATTTTTGCAGGTCTGTTATAATACACAATGGGCAATAAGTTACAAGAAATCTAATGATGCAATGATGCTACAATATGGTAACAGGCACACAACAATCCTAAACGCACTCATTTGGAAAGCAAGTTACAATTAAATCAATGATGCTCGACTATATGGAGCCTCATGGAGCTATACAGCAGAATGTAAGCATTCTAAATAAATAACAACTGTCTTGCACTGAATGTCATGAGTCTATCCTGAACAGTATTTTAATCTGAATGGAAACTGCTCCATATTTTAAAAGGCTGCTGTCTACACATGCATTAACATCGGGAATCTATAATATTTGGTGTCTTAAAGAAGTTTTCATGTCACTGGCAGATGTATGAGAGGAGTAGGGAAATCAAGGATATAGACCCATGGACAAAGGGAGGGTTAAAAACCTAGTTTCTCCTATTTATTACTGCATCACAATAACAATGAACCCATCTATCAGGAGACAAGAGCTGCAACTCACAAATGGAGTCTGTACAGAAAACAACACACTATCAAACGTATTATCAGAGGAGGCACTTGTCACATGGAAACCAGCCTTATGCATAAGAGAAGCTAGTAAGAACAAGTCCAGAGATATCATAGCAACTGCTGAACTGAGCTGGATCAAAACAGAAACAAAGAAAAATTAGAAAATGCTGAAAAGATGAATTTATATCCCAAATAATCCATGTCTTTGAACCCAATGTTGATGGCGTAACTCTGGCCACAGTAACAACAATGGCCTTTATTGTTTGAAAAAGGAAGACGATTCAAATGCAAGCCCAACACAGATAGGATGCTTTCTTATCCAGAGTCAGATTACTGGGTCCATCTGGCGCAGGATGATTCGCACTGATTAGTAGAGGGTCTCCAAGGTTTTGGAAAGGTGTTTCTCCCCACTCAGCTTGAGGTGCAAGGGACTGAACCTTCTGCATGCAAAGCAGATGCTCTACCACTAAGATACAGCCCCTCTCCTTCCACCTAAGGGGACAGACACTCCTGATTGCTCCACAATCTTTCCATAGATCACTTGAATGGAGCTGGCAGACCACCAGGGGTCTGTGGACTATAATTTGAGAGCCTCTGCCCTAGACCCTGAATTCTATCCCCAGGGCCCTGCAGAAAAGCTGTGAAACTTATATTGGTAGTATGGGGGGGCCTGGCTTTCTCTGGACAATGACACTCACTTCTTTCTGAAAGATACATATGCCCCCACTCTCACTTAGCTCATTTCCTGTTCAGTAACGATGGTTCTCTTGGGTATCATCATGCAATTTAAAGCTGTGTGTGATTCAATGACTTCTACTTCTGTACAGAGGATTTGGCCATTTAATTTCTCCTGAAAAGAGAGATGGCTCATTCTTGATTTCAAGAACTTTTAATAGCTGGGGGCAGGGAAAGCTGCTTTGCAAAGATGAGCCGCAAATAAATGTCCCACCCTTCATCTCTTTTGTATACATTTAATAGTTTCGTTCCCAGAAGGTATTTCCCCCCCGACTATATTCTACTACTGCCATGGTAACCAGTAGCACTGCAAGTGCATTTCATTTCTCCTTAGAAGCAATTGTTGCATTTGTGCTTTATTACCCTGGACAAATGCTCTTTGGGGACCCACCGCATGAGCTCATTCTTACTCTTCCTTGGAATCACGGAAACTGGAAACAACCAAGACTTGTTATCACCATAATAATCAGGGGGTTGAGTCTCCTAATGAACAATTACTGTTCATTAATCAAGTGCTGCTCTGAAACATCTTAGGTGACGGGATCTGTCATCATCTAGTATAGGAAACAATTCCCAAACACTTACAAGCATTCTCTGGACATGTAACAGGCCACGTATAATATCCAAGCTTGCCTTCAGAAATAATGTACTAGCTTAGTGGGCTCCAGTGATGTTAGCTCCTAAGGTTGTGCAGTCTCCCCATTTTATTCCATAGAAAGAGTTTGCAGGTTTTACAGTTTACAGGCTTACAGATTTTTAACTCCTGAAACTACCATCCATATCACATACATAACAACAACAGCAACTCCCCATGTTTGCCATGAGGTAGAAGGTGGGCTGCTATTCAAAAGAAACAAAGGTCCAAAAAGCATTATGATTAATATGGATACTGTACAGCTGACTTAGAACATATGCAAAAATCTGTACATCACTGCTCTTTGTTGGTATTGCTAATGCTGTGTTTTTATGGAATGAAATGTAAATGAACAAGAAAGAAAGAAAGAAAGGGTCTACACAATTGGTAAAAATCACATAGTAAAGTTTTTCCTGGGCTGTACCTCTTCAGTCTCCAAGCACAGAAATCTCTACAAGACACAAGGCACTTTTTGTGTGTGAGAGATTTACATACACACTGGGGGATAAAATAAAATATTTTGGTAACTAAGCAAAATAAAAAAAATGTATATAAATATATGTTACCATTGCAACAATCTGTGCAAACCTAAATGCTGATGTGTGGAGGATGTTCAAGTTGTTTTTAAAAGTACTCCATGTTTTCCTGTAAGCACACTAAATAAAAACTTTTCTTAATGTCCAAAGCCTGATATTTTGAACTCAAGTTTCATTCTGATAATGAAAGCTATTAAAATCAGGAAAGATAAATCTATAAATTATTCTGATGGAAACCTTTGTATGCTCTACAAATTACAGTGCAATGAGATTTCTTGTACAGCCTGTAGAATCTCCAGAATTGTGTGTTTTCAAAAGCAAACCCCAGTATGTTCAATGGGTTTCCTTCTAGGAAAATGTATGACTACAGTACTGCTCCAATCTTATCCTTGTGGGCTGGCCCAGTTTGGTATTCTTTGCATACAACAATCTAACAGGCCTGTTCTCCCTCCTTCTGCAGATCACAAGGTCTGAACAATCACTCAAAATGGCACTCCATCTTAAATCTACTCCCATCTTCTGTAGAAAGTAGTATGGCATTCTCTTCTCCAGATATCATCAACCTTTTCCTTCAAACAGCAGCCAATGAAGTGGGGTTGGACAGGAGAGAAAGTTCTCCAACATATAGCGGAGTAGATAGGAGCAAAACTAAAAATAGGGCTCTGCTTTCCGAAGCAGAGTAACATTTCTTCTAATGAGTGGCTTGCCCAGATTGCTTTAACCACTTGGGATCCAAGTCACAGTACAGTCATACCTCGGGTTGAAGATGCTTCAAGTTGAGTGCGTTCGAGTTGCGCTCTTCGGCAACCCGGAAGTAACGGAGCGCGTTACTTCCGGGTTTCGCCGCTTGTGCATGCGCAGACGCTCAAAATGACGTCACACGCATGCGCACAAGCGACGAAAAGCGACGCGTTTGTGCGCAGACGCGCCGTCGCTAGTTATGTTTACTTCTAGATACGAACGGGGCTCCGGAACGGATCCCGTTCGTATCTAGAGGTACCACTGTATCCTATTGAAATCGCAACTTAAGCTACGCTTAAGCCTGCATGCAACTGCATATTCTTAACTGCATAACATTATTATGTGCTATTAAATAGAAAGTACGTTTCTCCCGAGATTGTTTGGTTCATATCACATTTTCATATTACACTTGTGCAAGAAGTGTCAGCTTCCTCAACTGATTAAGCAACTCTAACAACTTTGTACTCTGTCAATGTTCCCCACATTTAAAAGTAATTGGTATCCAGGAAAGAACATAATTTCGTTACTCTCAAATGATCCGGCATCTAATGTACCTTTAAGCCAAGAGATAATGTTTTATTGGTATCATAACATTCTATGGAAGGAAACACGTGCTTGGAATTAGCAACCATAATGGCTTCAGATCTCAAGAAAAATGAAGTTCTTTACGCTGGTCTTTATCAAATACAAACTGATTGCATAATGTTAAACAGCTCTGACCTCCATGATAATTTTTTAATAACCTGAGCAGCAATAAAGTACACAGGAAGCAAAACTGTTAACAGCGTTTATGTCTATCAATAGGCCAACAATTACTGCAACACACTATATGTGGGGCTTCCATTGAGCTTAGTCTGAAAGCCATAGTTAGCACACCATGCTGCAGCATGATCACTGACAAGATGGTCTTGCTCAGAGATGTACACTGACTGCCAATATGTTATTGGGACAAATTTAAAGTGTTACTATAGGTATATAAAGCCCTCAATGGCTTAGGGCTGCCTCACCCTGTCTGTGCCCACTTGACCACATAAATTTAAGGATCTGGCACTTTTACAAACGCTGAATAATATTAATTCCACATTTGCAAGCAATCAATCTTTCAGCGTGGCCACACATACACATTGGAACTCTCTGCCCATGGGTGTTAGAGAGAAGTCCTGGCAGGGCTCTGATGGGTGTGTGATGGAGGCAGAGGGGGCAGAAGAGTGACCCAGGAGAGAGGCCAGCAATTTATGGAGTTTGGTGCCACCCGCGAAGCAGGAAGCAAGATGGGGGGGAAGGGGAAGGGTTTGAGCAGTCAGAGACATAAGTGAGGGCACAGGACATGTTAGAAGTGGAGGAAGAGGGTGATCTTCCAAGGGGTGGGTTGGTTGAATCCCCACCATCTCCCACGCCACTGTCTCCTGGAACTAGGAAGGCCTTGAAGAGGGAAGTGCAGCGATGATTTCTGTGTAGAAGTCTCAGGTTACATGTGTGAATTCCATTAAGTGAGGTTAGAATGTAGGTCAGTAATGTATCCACAGCGGCTAAAATAAATCTCTCAATTTATTTCTAGGCCACCTATCTCGATGACTTTCTATTCTTTTCAAAGATCTCGTTAATCAAGAAATAGATTTAAAATTGACCCTACAGTGGTACCTGTAGGGTTACATACGCTTCAGGGTTACATACGCTTCAGGTTACAGACTCCGCTAACCCAGAAATAGTACCTCGGGTTAAGAACTTTGCTTCAGGTTGAGAACAGAAATTGTGCTCTGGCGGTGCGGCGGCAGCGGGAGGCCCCATTAGCTAAAGTGGTACCTCAGGTTAAGTACAGTTTCAGGTTAAGAACGGACCTCCAGAACGAATTAAGTTCTTAACCCAAGGTACCACTGTATTTCTAATCCTCAAACAACACTGTATTAAAGAGGTCTTTATCACCATCTACTGGCTAGTTAACATTACTACTACTAGATCATGGCAAAAAAACCTATTTTTTATATCTGTACTCTTTTTTTTGACCGTAGATAATGGAACTTCCCCCTCCTCTCCCCGCTCTGGCCCCACACCCTCCTGAAATCTGCTCCAGAGGGTTGGGGGGACCCTCAGAACAGATTTAGGTGGCACACAGCAGAGAGGAAGTTTTGTTGCCCAGCCAACACAACCTATACACCTGAAAAAATCCATCATAAGATTTAAATTTTTCAAAAACCATCATCTTTACCTTTCATTCTCAGCCAAAATTGCACCTTCATCCTTCAGATGTTTACTTCTGGCCACACAATCTTCCAGGAGAAGCCCCTTTTTTCTTTTAGTGTCATGGAACCATTCAGCTTCATCACTGTCAGCAAGATCCTGCTCATCAGCAGCCTGAGCTTCAAATTGCTGAGATGTTACCTTCGACACCTTCTCACCAATCTTCCTCTTCCACCCAAAGGAAGCCATTTCGGAAACCTTTTGGAAAAGAAGGTAATTTCAACTATTGGCACCATTTTGTTTTAACACAAACCATAACAAATGACAACTGAAATTAGTTGCGGCAGAGGTTAACTTGCTCAAAAGAGACTGATTTATGCAAATGAATTCTGGCCATGGTGTGACTTCCACATCAGCCTTGCAAAGTTTAAAGACTTGTCGAAAGAGGAAGGTCTTCAATAGGCATCAATAATATTAGGAATACAGTGGTACCTCGGGTTACATACGCTTCAGGTTACATACGCTTCAGGATACAGACTCTGCTAACCCAGAAATAGTACCTCGGGCTAAGAACTTTGCTGCAGGATGAGAACAGAAATCGCTTGGCAGCGGCGCACCAGCAGGGGGACGGCCCATTAGCTAAAGTGGTGCTTCAGGTTAAGAACAGTTTCAGGTTAAGAACGGACCTCTGGAACGAATTAAGTACGTAACCAGAGGTACCACTGTAGTAATAATAATAATAATAATAATAATAACGGCAGCAGAGGTATTGCCCCATCTAATAATTAATGGGAGGGAATTCCAAAGGGTAGGTTCCATCAAATGTAATAATAATTGTGACTATTACAATGATATTTGGGTCACCTTTCAAGCAAAGGCTGAAAGGGCAAGGGAAAGATCTACATCAGGAACAAGGGAGTAGGGAAGGGAGGACCAACACTGGGATTGGATGGGGGTCCTGCCACCCAAGGCAGTCGCCTCACCTTGCCTCATGGGTAGGCCAGCCCTGTCCCTACATCTACCCGAGAGGGGTGCAATATAGTGGCAGTGAAGTATCAGTAAATGGCAATGGCTATTATGGGGTGGAGTGAGGGGAAAGAAGCCTGCACTTCCAAACTTCCACTGCCTCCTCAACCTCCCTCACAGAAACTAAACCAGAGACGAAAAGTGGAAGGCTTTAAAAGAAGGTGCTTCTCTCCTTCAGGAGGCAGAGAACAAGGTGGGCAGCCATTTCTCTCCCTTGAGAATATTCTATCCATGTTTAATTGCCCTTTTTAAAGACACCCCGCCTCGCCCCCAAAGCGCGCGCGCCCCCTATGCTTTTAGCGGTTCTTATCTGTAAGCCGCCTTGAGTCCCTGTCAAGGGAAAAGGCGGGTATAAATAATAATAATAATAATATAATAATAATAATACAGGGAGAGGGGCGGAGGCATAATCCCCAACTGAAGACGGGGGGGGGGGTATTTACCTGAAGCCCCCTCCCCTCTCCAGCTCTGTCACAGTCCGAGCCGGGTCACATCTGATTTTTCAGCTCCCCGGAAGCGGGGGCAAGGAAGAACCGGAAGCAGCCGCGCTCGGCCCGTTTGGGAAAGCAGCGTCTATGGCAGTCCATGAGGCTACTTCCGGTCTAGAACTCAGGAAGGCGTTCGCTCTCCCCTGACGGTCTTTTGTCGTATGCGCTTTTAACGCGACTCTCTCTCTCTCAGGGCAGGGAGAAACCATAAAGATTTCCATGGTAGAGCGGCGCCGCTCGACCTTAGCCGTTGCATGTTTTACCTACCTTCTACAGGAGCCGGCGGAACTGAGAATTCCACCCTTCCGCCCAAGAGCATGCTGGGTGTTGTAGTTCAAGGAAGGCAGCAGCGCCCTGATGCGCCAGTGGTTGTTTGATGGGTTGTTGTTGTTTAGTCGTGTCCGACTCTTCGTGACCCCATGGACCAGAGCACGCCAGGCCCTCCTGTCTTCCACTGCCTCCCGCAGTTTGGTCTGACTCATGTTTGTAACTTCGAGAACACTGTCCAACCAGAATAATAATAGTAATAGTAATAATTTATTATTTATACCCCGCTCATCTGGCTGGGTCCCCCCAGCCACTCTGGGCAGCTTCCAACAAAACACTAAAATACAATAACCTATTAAACATTAAAAACTTCCTTAAACAGGGCTGCCCTCAGATGTCTTCTAAAAGTCTGGTAGTTGTTTTTCTCTTTGACATCTGGTGGGAGGGAGTTCCACAGGGTGGGTGCCACTACCGAGAAGGCCCTCTGCCTGGTTCCCTGTAACTTGGCTTCTCGCAGTGGCCCTCGGTGCTGGACCTCAGTGTCCGGGTAGAACGATGGGGGTGGAGACGCTCCTTCAGGTATACTGGGCCGAGGCCGTTTAGGGCTTTAAAGGTCAGCACCAACACTTTGAATTGTGCTCGGAAACGTACTGGGAGCCAGTGTAGGTCTTTCAAGACCGGTGTTATGGTCTTGGCGGCCGCTCCCAGTCACCAGTCTAGCTGCCGCATTCTGGATTAATTGTAGTTTCCGGGTTACCTTCAAAGGTAGCCCCACATTGCAGTAGTACAACCATCTCATCCTTTGTCGTCCCCTTCTCCTTGTGCCCTCCATCTTTCCCAACATCAGGGTCTTTTCCAGGGAGTCTTCTCTTCTCATGAGGTGGGCAAAGTCTTGGAGCCTCAGCTTCAGGATCTGTCCTTCCAGTGAGCACTCAGGGCTGATTTCCTTCAGAATGGAGAGGTTTCCAACCCCAACCTCTCTCACCACCAAAGGAACACAAGTCATAGCTGTCAACTTTCAGATTTGACAATAAGGGATCAGCAGCCTTGAAAATAAGGAATCAGCAGCCTCACCTGTCCCGGGAACAGTCTACGGGATATCTAACAATCCAGGATAGCAACGGGAAGCAGTGGGAAACAGCGCTGGAATAAGGGAATTTCCCGCAAAAAAAGGGAAGGTTGACAGCTATGACACAAGTGAATAGCAAAGAACCTGTACAAGCGAGGCTGACACAAAACCCCACAAGTAAAATAGAAACATCGCCACTCGACCCCAGCCCCACTCACCTCTCCCCCCTCCACCTCTCTCCCTCTTTTCTTCCTAATGTCGCAACAAACAAAACTGATCTGTATAAAATGTTACTTAAAAAAAGAAAATTGCACATACTTTTGTAGACCAAGAAAATCCTTAATAAAAATACATTTTTTTAAAAAAAGAATGGATAGGTTTGATCTTCTTGCAGTCCATGGGACTCTCAAGAGTGTCACTGCCTTGTTGTGGCGAAGGGGCTTGAATAACTCAGAGAAGCTATGAGCTATGCCGTGCAGGGCCACCCAAGATGGATAGGTCATAGTGGAGAATTTTGACTAAACGTGATCCACCTGGAGTAAGCCACTCCAATATCCCTGCCAAGAAAATTCCATGGACAAAAACAACAGGCTTGATGGGGGGATGCCACAAAAAGGGTTATGCGCACACCAGATATCTGGCCTGGGGACAGTGGAAACACACCAATATATGCAACCACGCTGATCTTAACCTTCTGAAATCATGTGCTCTCTGAAAACAACTGATTTTAAACTGCAATGCTAGCTCAAACAGGTTGTGTTGCTTTGAGTTACAATGACTTTTTAAAAATGCTACTAATAATTCATTTATACATTTATATTCCGCACAATTCAGCACAAATGCTCTCAAGGCGGGCAATATAAAGGATGCAGCTAAACCATGGGTAGGCAAACTAAGGCCCGGGGGCCAGATCTGGCCCAATCGCCTTCTAAATCCAGCCCGCGGAATGCATCTCTGGGTTATTTGTGGGGCCTGGCTGGTGTTTTTACATGAGTAGAATGTGTCCTTTTATTTAAAATGCATCTCTGGGTTATTTGTGGAGCATAGGAATTTGTTCTGTTCTTTCCTTCAAAATATCTGAGGGACAGTGAACCGGCCCCCTGCTGAAAAGGTTTGCTAACCCCTGACTGAAATGGCAGCACATCTTCTGGTTGCACAATGTTTCACGCCACCTCACTTGGTTTCATAAACCCATTCCCTAGAATATACTGATCGCAACAGCAATAATGGACATTCTTCAGGGAAGCTTGTCTGACGTTACTAATGACCTTATTAAAGAATCTGACAAATGTCTAGAAACCCAGCAAACGCTCAGGAACAGTTGAAATAAATGGCTACTGTTGCATTTATTTAATAGCCATTTGTGATTTTTTTTAAAATATTTATACAGTTTTGATATGAATTCAGTATAACTACCACATTCTACTTATTGTTAACTACAGTGGTACCTCAGGTTACATACGCTTCAGGTTACAGACTCCGCTAACCCAGAAATAGTGCTTCAGGTTAAGAACTTTGCTTCAGGATGAGAACAGAAATTGGGCTCCAGCGGCGTGGCAGCAGCAGGAGGCCCCATTAGCTAAAGTGGAGCTTCAGGTTAAGAACAGTTTCAGGTTAAGTATGGACCTCCGGAACGAATTAAGTACTTAACCTGAGGTACCACTGTATATTGTTGTAAGGGCTGTCCAGATATTGCTGTACTGGTAATTTCTGATTCGCTGCTTTGGGCTTTTGGGAAAGAAAAGCACATGGTGGATATTAAGCAGAAGTGAAGTGGAACTCCATTGGTGTAGTTTTTATACTTTTACCACTTTTGTAAGCCTGAAATCAAGTTTAACAGCTTCCCAAAGGGTTAAGATGTCAATGTAGACTATAGAGATGAAGAAAGCCAGACTGGTTATTGAAATTAGTTGACTATACAGTGTTGGCCAAATTAACCGAAAAATTAAGACAACTCAAAACAAGTCTTCATTGCAAAACATTTCTTAAGAACAACTGTGGTAGTCTGAATTCAGTTGCTGGCTTTGAATAACCTCTGCAGCTGTACTAAGTAAAAGATAATGATAGAGGAGAAATAATACTTTATTATAGAATGAGTGGACAGGTTTATGCAAAAAGTTAAAAAACAAGAAATGAAGTATAGAGAAAACGGGAAGTTAGAAGTATTTTAAGAAAATTTACTGTCAAGTATATGAACCTATTTTTCTTTTTTGGTGACTTTGTACTTGTGTGGTAAATGATATAAATGAATAATTTTCTTTTTTGTGTTTTGTTGATGCGTAAGCATAATAAAGCATTATACATATAAAAGAAAGAAACCCAGGACACCGTGCACACAAATACATTTCACAGATTTACTTGCATACAATTTAATGTTTATTAAAAGTAACAAGTCATATACAGCTATCACAAGCATTTTTTTTTCATTCAGTATTGCCGAAAAAGAAAAAAGAAATCCGCAATAGAAGTAGGCACATCTTGTTTGTAAGAGAAGGTGGTCATCCATGTCATAAGCTATACAATGGTAAAATCAACTGACAAAAGAAAGTATCTCAAAAGCTTGTACTGAAACACATAAAATGTCAGAACACATACGAAAGTTGGTCTTTTGAAAATATTGCACCACAAAGATGGACTTCTACCCTCTCACCAGTGTTAAATTACATTGCACCTGGACAGTTTTATACACACACACACCTTGCAACTGATTATGAATTTCAGTAAAAACAAATCATTTGACGGTACTTGGCCAATTAACATGATGCTCCCTATTGACTTTATTTTTGAAGTTGCTGTTGAGAAAGCCCTTTTTTTCTTCACAGTTCCATGGCTGTCTCTTTTACAAAGCAGTTCCTCTTGTTGCATGACCATCTATTGCCCTATCCTAACATACCACTAAGAAAAGTCAACTCTAAGGTGACCTCACAGGGTCACACAAAAAAGAAGTAATTACAACATCAATATTTTACTGTAAGTGTAAAAAAAACACACACACTATGAAAAAGGGTTGTTTTTTGCTTGAATAATACACATTGGATAGCCTGCACTTTGGGGAGGCAGGGGAAAGTTATTTTTTAAAGAACTGAACAGAAAGAGAATGTTCCATGGCCAAAAACTATTTTTTAAAAAAATTAAATTAAAACTGGCCATTTAAGATTAAGTAACGGTACCCTTCTGCTATGTATTTAGACCTAGGGACCATGATAATATAAAGGATGTATCCAACCAAGTTATATATGGGAACAGACCCATTAGAATTAAAGGACCCAAATTAATGCCCATTAACTTCAATGGTTCTGCTTTATGTAAGAATTAACATTGGATACAACCCAGACAACCTGGTAGCACAAAACCAAAAATGACATATATTGTTCCCAGTGCAAAGACACGGGGTGCAATCCACAGATGTTGGTGGCATATATCTTCCCAGTCCCATCCCTCTCAATGGAGCTTGTATAGGAGTTTCACTGAAGCTGTAGTCCTAACGCAAGCAGAATTAGGAATAAGCCCCATTGAACTCAGTGGGACTTCCATAGAAACATGCATACAATTGGGCTGCATATCCCACAGAGATAAGACAGACGATGTGCAGCAGCGATGCTTATGGCTTGTGCCCACTATTGTCTGATGTTTGCCAAAGAGAGCTTTCGGGTTGGTTTCTGAACACATCCTAGGAAAGCTACCCAGCAGATAAAGGGGCAAGGGCGGGGAAGAGTGTGTTCATATCATTTTGCCAAGTGCACTATGAACAACAACAAAAATAAAATCACAATTACTGAATAGGTGCAGCAGAACTAGACATAAAAGGTATTTATATAAAAGGTAGGACTGTTGCTTGGTCCCCCAAGACAACCTCTCTCTCTTACGGCATCACAGCAGCAGTACATACCCCTTGTTCCTTTAAAGTCCCCTCCCTCCCGACAACACACACACAC